ATAAACAAATTGTTTTTTCCTTGTGTTCATACAGCAGAAAAAATACCTATATGTTACAGCTTATCAGACAAATCTTTGTTACCACAAGTTTTATGTGTTGTTTTCTTTCCTTGCTTCAAAGCGTTAAGTACCCTTGAACTAAGAGGAACACAGATTATACTGTACAAAATTATACATGTATAAGATAAACAAGGGGTTGAAACTTGCCAAATCGGCAGACAATATGCCACTTGTCCAGTATAAGACACAATCTGCCAAAGTCATGTTTTTAGTAACATCAATGTAAAGCCTATATATCCAATTGCAGAATAAATGACTAAGACGATGTAACGATTCATCGATGCATAGCAAATCTGCCCTGTCCTCAATGTTACTTTATGCATCTTATGAAATTACAAATTTTAATATATCGCGATTTGCAATACACTATTTCACCTCCCAACTGTACTCCAACTATAGGAGGAAATATAATCTCAATACACAACAATATCTTACCACGGAATATAAGGACAAATGTCATTTTTGAAAACTGAAAGAAAGAAAAAAATAGGTTGGATGAAAATAATGAACAAGCGCGACTATTATCAATCTAACCCGTACCATGTAAACAATTGGGGCGGCAATATTTAACCAACCCAATTTTAGTAAATTCCATCATATAGAACTAAGAGTATTCACTTTGAAAACTGCTTTACTTAATAGAAAAATATTAGAGATATATTTAATGCTGAGAGAATAAAAAAGAACAGACCTTCAGTACTGCATCAAACATTTTATGTTTATCTAACATAATAAAAATGAACAAAATATTATTCAAAACGCAAGGATATTGTCCTAACAGAATAATCAATAAAACAAAAACCAAAGAAACAACTTACTGCCTAACAGCATAGACTACACACACACACACACACTCCACCAAACCCACACATCTCAAATAACCCTTCCTGACTTTGCATCCACCTCGATCCACCAATAACACTCTCACACTCGAGAAAGACATTATATATATAGAAAAACACATAAAAAGAATAATGTAGACCTATATAAATATAATACCGAGAATCCCAATATACAATTTAAATTCGGCAAAACAAAAACAATAAAAATAAGGCGAGCACACGCGACCCCGCAATCAACATTAACCAAAATAACACAATACTAAAAACATCCAAATTCGCATATACCACACATACTACACACATTTATTAAAATCAACTTATCACAAGAGACGGTAAGACCCATCTGAGTACATTCGAGTCACACTATGAGATAAAGATAATTATTCCATGAATCATCTCATAGTTACTATACTCTTTCACCATCACATCATTTTAGGGCTAATTTTCACATGCAAATGCACCTGATCATAATGTATGTTTACTCATTATCTGGAAATCTTTGCTGACATGGTCAATACTCAAGTTGTTAATATTTTATTTTTGGTAACAAAAAAAAAGTCAGAATATTTATTAAAACTACTAATTATGAATTTTTGCAAAAGAAGTAATCTCAACTGTAAGCCCTCTTAAAAAATTTTTGCAGTAACCCGACCCAAAAAACTATTAAAACAGGGATAGAGTAAACGAAGAGAACCAAACAAATAAAAATAATAATATATAATATTTATTTATTTTTACTGAATCTGTATCCCAATAAAAGATTTCAAATGCTGGACAATATATGCTTATAATCTGGTTACAATTAATAAATTGATAACTGATTTCATATATAACAAATAGAAGATAACATATCATATATAAATAAATATATCTATCATTTAACAAAAAACAAAGCACAAGCAATCTGCTTCAAAAAAAAAAATTTTTTTACTCGCATGAAAAAAAATTTGAGTAGGCTAATTTTGTGAGTCGCACACAACAAGCAACTCACTAAACCCAACCCGCATAAACAAACATATTTTTAAGCGTGCCCAAATTAAGTATTTTCCTTCCTTGCACATTAACTTGTAATTGGACATAAATTTTTGGTGGTTTGTAGTTAACTTTTTATATATACTACATGTAGAGTATAGTGATTTGTGTAACATTAGGTGATTCCTGTCAAAAACCAATTTGAACCGCAAATTCGCAGATCATAGAAAATTGTTGAGATTTTGCATTTTTTTAGGTACGCTGTTTGTAGGCCTGGAATACAGTAATCCAAAATTTCAAAATCAGTGAAAGTGTACGTGATTATGACACATGACTATTCAACAAAGGAATACATACCAAACACATAAAAACTCCAGTAATTAACAAAAATCTTTAAATGTAATTTCAGTTTAATAAAAAGTGCCAAATACTAATATATATGAAAGAAGTACCGCATAACATAAGAAGAAAACACTATAATCGAATACCGGTAATTAAAACTGGGAAAGAAAAAAACACCAAAAATAATGAGAAAAATATTTGCATATTAGCCTGATATAAAAGACAAACAAATGCAAGAAAAATTCATTAACAAGAGCACATAAAACAATGTCAATAAAAAACGGATGAGGGAATGATAAGTATTAGCAAAAAAGTATTAGTGAAACAAAAACAAAATGAAAATACTTTTAAGTCCGTTCTCATCTCAAAAAAACCTCAGTGAATTTCCATATCCTTATTGTACTTTATCAGTGCAGTCTTTAGTTGCAAGAAACACATGTTTAGTATTATATATCGAGATGTGTGAATGCACTGGAAAAGTCATATGATTGACTATAATTGTTCTGTAATGAGCATTAAAAACCTATTACCCTACATATTGTTACATATTAATTTTTTTAAATACATAACAAACCTGTTATTTGGAACAAAGTTAATGTCAGAAAAAAAAAGTCAAATAAAACAAATTATATATTCATCTTGTTGGGGTATAAAGCTCAAATGAAAAAACACAAAAATGCACTATGTGGGTATGAAAGTCATATGTTTGGGGTATAAACGTCATTATGTGGGCCGTATAAACTCATATGTTACGAGAAGGCATAACACAATTCATACATTTGGGATAAAAGAATGAGAAATACTCTGAAAATCAGAAATTATTTTTGGCATCGTTTATGGCTTTATTGTACAAGACTCACCAAGAATATCAAATAATTAACAATATAAAATATTCCAGCTTGCTCCTCTTTGGATCAAAAGATTATTGTTTGACATTCAAATGGGGACTTCAAAACTGTAGATTTTTACAAAAATGTAGTATGCCTTGTAAATTTTAACTCTTCGCGGCACATTAAGTCTATTGAAAGGGTAGTCTGAACATTGTAAAATCTTATCAGACAGAACACACCATACTCCTTATAAAAATAAATAAAGTCTCATTTCAAAATGCTAGTATTTCAACTGAATAAACAGGAATCAGTTAAGCTAAAACTGAAAAAAAATCAAGGATATGAAATCTTTACCTGCTTCACAAACACCATCTAATAACACGGTAGATAATTAACAAGTCATCATTAAGATGCTGAATTCTCTTACTCATAACATGATCTAAAGTGTCAACCAAGATTCGTCATTCAAACGTGCAATCTAAAATTGTTTGAATAAAATCATAATTAGAAAAAAAAGTAATGGTGGTTCACATCGATGACTAAAGTTTATTATAAACATTGTAATGGAAGCAGTGTGAAAGCATGTGTGGAGTAAGCACTTGCCCCCCATGAATGTGAGCAAGCACTAGTGGTTCTACTCAAGCACCCATTCTTGAGTTGAGTAACCTGATTTTCTATCAATGCCCAAAAATTTTTTTAAATTACAGGGGAAGTTCTACACAAGTTTTTTAGTTTGTATTATAACAGAGTCCCAAAAATTTTAATAATACGGGGGGTTATCCACATCACAAGGTTGAAATTTTTTTGATAAAAACCAAAAAATAAAATTTGTTCATTAAAGGGGCATAACAGGTTAAATGACTTTCCCCGCTTAGTTACAAGGAGTCATAATTTGTGGGGGCCCCGGGTCGAGGATGATTTGTTTTTTTTATGATGATTTTTTTTTGAATATTCATTTTTATTTTCCTGGGAAATCAATGAACAATAAAAAAAATTTTTTGGGGCTACAGGATTTTAAAAAAAAGGGGGTTTTTTAAGGGGGAATTTTTTTACAATTTTTTTCTTTTTAAAACCCCCTTGAAAATAGGGGGGGTTTTCAAAAATATGATGAATCACCCCCCCCTTCCCAGAAAGACCTGACAATCTGCCCCTTTCTTGTATGACAAAATACTGTTTAACAATTGCTTTTACCCTTAACAAAAACTGGTATAAACATATTCTTACTGGTCTGTCAAAACTATAAGTTTTCTGCTCAATTTTATAATCCTATCAAAAAAACAACTAATTATGTACATTTCCAAAATGATTTTTAAGTTGTGCATGTCTTTTACACAAGTTGACATACAGTTTTATAGATTGCCGAGTGGTTAAGCATGATGACTCAGTCACTGCATTGGGTTAGAATTCTTCAAAGGATAATGAATTTTTCTCATGTTAGCTAGTTATCTAGGTTGGTTGTTGTCTGGTGCCTGCTATAAACTGAAATTATGCCTGAAGGGAAACCCTAGATCTTCTTTAACCAGTACTTTAACGCCTACAGTGTATAGATCATTAAAGGTCTATTATGCCTAAGAAATATTTTTCATTTTCACTTCTCAAATTTTTTTTATTTTTGATGCATTGTTATAAATTCCAAAACACTACTCATTTGCCAATTACATAAGCCATCTGCTTTTGTTGCTTTTTGGCAATGTGACAGATAAAGGGATTTTTTATGGAAGTCAAGTACTACTTTGTTTACATTTGGCTTCTTTTATGGCAAATAATTTCACATTCAGTTCTACTTTCTTCAGGTGATAAGCATCTAACATGCTCTAAAACCATTATTTAAATGTAAGAAAAAATAACCTATGTGCACTCCTTCTAGAGGAAAAGTTTATTCATTTTTGAGGCAAAATGTGCCTTTAATGAAATAGTGGTGTAATACAAATCTTTACCTTTTTTATTTACAGCATGTGACCTTGTTATGATGACTATTAAGAAATTGAAAGGGCCACCCAGAAGTACATGTTTATTTCAAAGATGTTCAAACGATGTAGGAAAAGCTTGCATTGGTCCAAAGGTAAGAGAATCAATGTTAAAGAATTTTAAACAGTTTTGACAACATCCTCTGTATGATCATTACTCAGGAATAAATGTTAGTTGTGCAATCAAAAAAAACATTGGACAAAGTACTTTAAAAAGAAGTACAGCTCAAAGTTTGAATGGAAGTTACATTTTGACAAATATGTCAAAAAAAGTAATGAATAAGTATAATGTCCTTCTGAACACATGTACGTTGTCGTGCCCTTATATAGCCTGGCCAAGAGATCCTTTATAATCATACGATGCACAAGTTTGCGCATAATGAAATTTTAGCAGTTGTCCGCTTATGACTTTAAAATTCCATTAGATTATATGGACAAAATACTATGTAATTTACATGTAGTTTTTAGCTCGACTATTTGCAGAATAATCGAGCTAAGTCACCCATTTGTCGGCGTCGGCGTCCCTGTGGTTAAGTTTTTGTATGTAAGCTGGTATCTCTATAACTACTGAGGGAATGGATTTGAAACTTCCCACACTTGTTTAACATGTGATTTATCTAAGATCAGATTGGCACAATCCCTATAACTCTGATTATTTTTTTTTTGCCCTTTTTTTTATTTTTTTTTTTCATAATATGCCCCTTTTTCGACTTAGCAAAATATCCTTGTTAAGTTTTCTGTATGTAAAGCTGGTATCTCCATTACTCACTAAGATGGGAATGGATTGAAACTTCGACACACTTGATTCGTCCTGTGATTGTCTAAGATGATTGGCACAAGTCCATAAACTCTGATTTGCTTTTTTTTCATAATTAATGCCCCTTTTTCGACTTAGAAATTCTTGGTTAAGTTTTTGTATGTTAAGGCTGGTATCTCCTTAACTACTGAAAGGGCATGCGATTGAAAAACTTCACATCAAGGCACTTGTTCTCCTTGTGATATCTAAGATGATGGCACAAGTCCCATAACTCTGATTTCTTTTTTTCATAATTATGCCCCTTTTTCACTTAGAAATTCTTGGTTAAGTTTTTGTATGTAAGGCTGGTATCTCGCTTAACTACTGAAGGGAATCGGATTGGAAACTTCCACAACTTGTTCTCTGTGATTACTAAGATGATTGGCAACAAGTCCCATAACTCTGGTTTGCTTTTTTTCATAATTATGCCGCCTTTTTCGACTTAGAAATCTCTTGGTTAACGTTTTTGTATATAATTGTCAGTACTGGTCTCATCCATTACTACATGACAAGGGAATGGATTGAACAACTTCACACACTTGTTCTCTGTGATTATTAAGATAATTGGCACAAGTCCATAACTCTGATTTGCTTTTTTTAAGCATAATTATCGCCTCTTTTTTCGACTTAGAAATTCTTAGCATTGTTTTTGCATGTAAGCTGGTAATCTCCATAACTACTGTAGGGAATTGAATGAAACTTCACACACTTGTTCTTGTGATTATCTAAGAGGATTGGCACAAGTCCCATAACTCTATTTACAGCTTTTACATATTATGCCCGCTTATTTCGACTTAGAATTCTTATTAAGTTTATTTGGCGCTGTAAGCTGGTAATCTGCCATTACATAACTAAGAGGGAATGGATGAAACTTCACACAACTTGGTCTGTGTGATTATTGCTTAGATGATTGGTACAAGTCCCATTACCTCTGATTTGCTTTTTGTCATAATTATGACCTTGTTCGACTCATGAATTCTTGGTAGAGTTTTTGCATGTAAGCTTGTATCTCAATAACTACTGAAGGAATGTATTGAAAACTTGAAGAGTTTGTACCTTTTCGGACAATTTTATGTATTCATATAGGTAAGCATTATTATACTCAATGAAACACCCTTGTGACAAATTGTTGAATAGTCGAGCGTTACTGTCCTCCGACAGTTCTTGTTTAAAGATATAAAGGGCCTATGTGGCAAAGGTAGTAATTTATAAACTGAAATCCTGAGGTCCTCATCACCTTTGATTTGAATTCTTTATTCTTTAGAACCAGTTTTCACATTAAAATATGTTAGAAATCCAGGTTTTAGCTTATGGGTTAAATTATACAGAGAGAGGAATATATACAGAAAAAAGAATCATGTTTGTACTAGTTCTGGTATAGTATAAATCAATATGAAACTATTATTGTTTGACAGGGTTCATATTGTGTGATGGTGAACAAAAAGGAGATGATTGTAAAGAATTTGCCAAAAAACAAGCCTGTAAAGTAAGTCACATTTGTGTCTACCTATCATAATTATATCACTGGGGAGATAATGATCTTTACAGCTAATGTAGAAATATAGTAATAGATTGTTACACACTGAACTACTTAATTGAATGATTAAACAAGAGAACAATATACAAACTTTTATACAACAGTTTGATTAATATTTCATCTTAAAACTGTATGCCTCCAGATGCACCAAAAAATATTTCATAAAAATCAAACTTCAAAGTTTAAGAATATAATGTTAAGAAAAATCTAGATTCAAGTAATAATTACAAGAGATTTTTGCAGTATTTTTCATAATATTTCTACTGCATTTTGCTGTTTTGCACATTTTGACCTCTTCTTGGTAATTTGCGCCATGGATTTTAAGTACCGAAGACAAGTGCATTCTTAATTGTTATAAACAATTGCGTTTTGGGTAAATAAATGACCCTATCCCTGAGGGTGGGAGGGGGGGGTTTCTTTCAAAAAGGGTGAATGAAAGATAAACATTTTGTGACAAGTTCATTCGCATATTTAATGATATATTTGATTACTTAATCAAATTTTCATTTTGGGTGCTTTGCAGTGCTCTTGTTTATTTGTTTACGGACATATGCTTTTTTATTGCAGACATAGAATAGACAGAAAGCAGGAGTTCACATGTGTGGCAGGTAATCCCAATGGTCAGTGTATAGCCACTGGCTGTAATGATGGCAAAATATTTCTTTGGTATAACTTTCTGTCTGAAGATCGAGCAGTTAAAACTGTACTTCATTGGCATTCATTGGCATTAAGGGAATTGTGTTACACGCAAGATGGTAAATAATTTTTTTCCATAATATATTTCTTAGACTATTTTGTATTTAAATTTGTTTAGGATTTATTTCCTAGGATTTCAATTGCATTAAACTTGTAACAAGTTATTAGACTTTTAAAATAAGCACATAATATAAAAATACATTTGTTTAATTAAATTTAAATTTATTTTTTTAAATCACTACTTTTATGTGGGTTTCTTAATTATTTCTTGTGAGGAATTTATCTGACATGCTTATTGAAGGTTACTGGTACTACACCAGTTTCAGTTAGTGCCTGGAAAAATAAAAATGAAAAATTTGTGCACCCTTTGTACTCCCTCCACCAGGAAAGTTTGGTTAATTGCTTTATGACCTAAACAGTATGGGGAGGACTTGAATGTTAAAATCCAACAAGGAAAAGCTTTTTAAAACTATTAAGCTTATTTGTCTATCTAGGACCATATATTCATGCCTTAAAATAATATATATATTTAAATCAAAATTAGTATTTCTAAATTTTACTTGTTTTCCAGGTTCGTACCTTCTGAGTGGAGGTCACGAGTGCGTGCTAGTGAAATGGCATCCCGAGTCCTCGTACAAGGACTACATGCCGAGGCTTGGTGCTCCTCTCAACCATATTGTCTGCTCCCCAAATAATCTTCTATATGCTACATGCCTAAATGATAATGGTGAGTTTTTAATATGTTACATGCCTAGTGTCAGTTTTTAATTTGCTACGTGCCTAAAAGTGAACATTTGTTTAGTTTTTAAAATGCTACATGCCTAAATGATAATGTTTAGTTTTTATTATGCTACATGTTTAAATGATACTGGTGTGTTTTTATTATGCTACATGCCTTGTGTAAGTTTTTAATATGCTTCATATCCAAAAGGTTATGATGACTTTTTACATGCTACATGCCTAAATGAAAAGTTTGTTTTTTCAAGGTGCCTTTGTGAGTCTCACCAGGGACTTTCGATTCTTTCATATGAGGAAGCTATCCGGCTAGCTCACAGTATGTCGGTGGTTTTACTCGGGGTGCCTGTTCATGCCTGAAGTAATGTATGGTGGGGCGCCTGAGGTTTTTATTCCACCAGTATAGCTAAAAAAGTGTCATAAATACCTGTACTGTGTTGATACGACATTAAACCCAACAAAACCAAATATAAAAGTATTTTGACATTTCTTTTTCTTTCCTTATAATGAATACAATTATTTATGTTTGAAGAACTTTGTTTCAGTCATCCAGCTTGTGACAAGTAATTTTGACATTCAGAATGTCTATCAGGGACTGACCAGGAGCCCTCATGTAAGCAACACGTCAAACCCATTCCCAGCAGGTGTGACCTATGACCCGCGATCAGAAGCCCTGGTACTCAATGGAAAGCCTGGACACATACAATTCTATTCAGTGCAAGAGGACAAACAACTATATAATGTAAGTTTCATTGCTGTATGTTGAAGTGCAAATGTCCATTCAATTTCACACATATTACAATCCTATTTTCTAAGAAGTACCTGTTTGCTTTACTCAATAGAAAAATAAAGGATTTGCAATCCAGGGGTAGCTAGATTGCTTTTAAAGTTTTCCGTCAAAGCAAAGTTTCTCCTCTATAATCTTGGACATTGCGTCTTAACGGTCATTTTCTTTTCACCGCTGATTCATTATCCAGAAAAGCCTCTTAGGTGGACTGACCGCTTAGTTATGACAAAAAATTTGTTGAAATTAGCATAAAAAAACAAATTTAAAGATGTCTTTACTGTTATTAGCTTTTCTGTTTCGAACAAAAGACCAAGCTATTACGATTGATGCATAATTATATTCGATTCAATTCTATATTTTACATTGCAAAAATAATCAATAATCTGAAATTTCTATAAATATCATGTCAAAATTTTCCCCTTTAGCAATTTAAAATTCCAGAAATTTCACATGTGGAAATATTAGGGAATCACTGATATCGGAGTAGCTCAAAAACTGAAAACCAGTTATGTGATATTTAAGGTAGAGGAAATTTTAGTGATTTTCATCACAGATTTGTGAAATTCTCCTATATATCGGCATCGCTAACTTTACCACTTATACTGTACCTTAGTAAAATTACAACAATTAATGTTAACAGCAACATGTTTATTGTTTCTATTTATAGCTAGACATTGTGTGTCAGAATTATATTTCGCCAGAGAATCTAAACACACCTTTGGAAGTAACTGAGGTTATACAGGCCAGCTTTGATAGCAATGGAGAGTGGCTAGCAACCATAGAATACTGGAATGATGGGGTCATGACCCCTGAGATGAGGTTAAAATTCTGGCAGTTTAATACAGAGAAACAGAGGTTTGTGGGCTTTTATATTGAAAGTTGTAATCATAATTCTGCATTATACATGTACTTTATTGAAAACAAAACAGAAACCAAACTTTAGTTATAAGTACAGATTTTTTTATGAATGGTTATGTGGACAGTGGAGTTAGTTAGTATAGTATTTAAAAATTTAAGAGAGTAGGCATGGGCCTATCATATATGAAAAATCAATATATTATGGATATGTCATGGAATATCAAGTTGATCATGAGATTTTAAGCTTCTATCTCAAAAAATCTTTTGAATCCCTGAATTATATAAGAAGTAATGATAAAAATTGAACAGTTAGTCAATTACAAATGGTTAAAGGTATATTATCAAGCAGTATACATCGCTACAATTAGTAAAAAAGCTGGTGTAAGTTCTAAATTTTGAAAACTGCTTGATTTTAAAGAAAATTTCAATTGGGAATAGGCCTTTTATAGGCCTCTGTTATACAAGCAGAAACATAACTGATAATGGGCCTTTTTAACAGATTTCTGTGTGAATCGTTTTTTGTTCTGTACTTTCATTTGTTTATTTTCATTTTGTTTTATGGTGGATCTTTTCAGTTTTGTTCTAAATACGTCTGTGGAAATGCCGCATGAAGATACAGTGCACTCCCTCGTATTCAGGCCTGTTTCCTCCACGTCAACACCAGGCATGCAGCATATGGCAGTCACATCCAGCAGTGACGGAAAATTCAAAATCTGGGCTTTGGTTGATGACACTGACATATACAGTAAGTGTTCATTTACTGGAACAAAGGTTGTATTTTGATAAATATTGTAATTGTATGTTTGAGACTTTTGTAATTACTGGTTAGTTATCCAGAAAAGTCATTATACCCCCACAAACGAAGTTTAGGGGGGGTATATAGGAGTCAGCTTGTCGGTTGGTCGGTCGGTCGGTCCGTCGGTCGGTCCACATCATGGTTTCCAGACGATAACTAGAGTTTGGAGTGAGGTATTGTAATCAAACTTAGTATATAGCAACCTTATGTGGAAACCCCGGTTGGTATTGCATTTGGACCCCCTGGGGCCAAGGTCAAGGTCACCGTAATACTAAAAGTAGAAAAATGGTTTCCGGACAACATCTAGAGTTAGGACTTAGGAATGAGATATTGTAATCAAACTTGGTATATAGAAAGCTTATATGAAGACCCAGGCTGGTATCGCATTTGGACCCCCTTGGATCAAGGTCAAGGTCACTGTTACTAAAAGTAGAAAAATGGTTTCCGGACAACATCTAGAGTTAGGACTTAGGAATGAGATATTGTAATCAAACTTGGTATATAGAAAGCTTATATGAAGACCCAGGCTGGTATCGCATTTGGACCCCCTTGGATCAAGGTCAAGGTCACTGTTACTAAAAATAGAAAAATGGTTTTAGGACAAAAACTACTGTTAGGAATAAGATATTGTAATGAAACTTTGTACATGGCATATATGAATACCCTGGTTGGGATTGCTTTTGGACCCCTTGGAGTCAAGGTCACTGTTATTAGAAATAGAAAAATGGTTTCCGGACAATAACTAAAGTTAGGAATGAAATATTGTAATCAAACTTGGTGTACATCAAGCTCATATGAAGTCCCCGGTTGGTATTGCATCTGGACCCCCTGGGCCAAGGTCAAGGTCACCGTTACTAAAAATAGAAAAATGGTTTCCGGACAATAACTAAAGTTAGGAATGAGATATTGTAATCAAACTTGGTATATAGCAAGCTTATATGAAGACCCTGGTTGGTATTGCATCTGGACCCCCTGGGGCCAAGGTCAAGGTCACAGTTACTGAAAATAAAAAATGGTTTTCGGACAATAACTAAAGTTAGGAATGAGATATTGTAATCAAACTTGGTATATAGCAAGCTTATATGAAGACCCCGGTTGGTATTGCATCTGGACCCCCCTTGGGCCAAGGTCAAGGTCACCGTTACTAAAAATAGAAAAATGGTTTTGGGACAATAACTAAAGTTAGGAATGAGATATTGTAATCAAACTTGGTGTTTAGCAAGCTTACATGAAGACCGCGCTTGGTATTGCATTTGGACTCCCTGGGTTCAAGGTCACAGTTACTAAAAATATAAAAATGGTTTCCAGACAATTACTAGGGTTAGGAATGAGATATTGTTATCAAACTTGGTGTATAGCAAGCTTATATCAAGATCACGATAGTTGGGATTGCAATAAATTGAAATTTTATTTACTGAAGGTTTATTTCAAATTTTTCTTCAGACAACTTATTTTTCAAAAGTCAAAGTTGCTGGTGGGGGTATTAATCACCTTCAGTGATAGGTCTAGTTTACTGGTAAGTTATCCAGGAAAGCCAATTACTGGTTAGTTATCCAATAAAGCCAATTACTGGTTGGTTATCCAGAAAAGTCATTTACTGGTAAGTTATCCAGGAAAGCCAATGACTGGTTAGTTATCCAATAAAGCCAATTACTGGTTGGTTATCCAGAAAAACCAATTAGTGGTTAGTTATCCAATAAAGTCATTTACTGGTTAGTTATCCAGAAAAGTCATTTGCTGGTTATTTATCTAGGAAAGCCAATTATTGTTTAGTTATCCAGGAAAGCCAATTACTGGTTAGTTATCCAGGAAAGCCATTTACTGGTTAAGTTATCCAGAAGAGCCAATTACTGGTTAATTATCCAAGAAAAGCCAATTACTGGGTAATTATCCAAGAAAAGCCAATTACTGGGTAATTATCCAAGAAAAGCCAATTTCTGGTATGTTATCCAATAAAGTCATTTAGGTGCACTAACCTAAACACATATAAACGAAAAATGTCGTAAAACCAAACTAACAGACATTAAAGTATGACAGGCCTAATAATCAAAATTGTTATACCAGTGTTAAAGGAGAGCTCGTGTCTTAATGCGAATCAGACATTGAATTTTCAATAAGAGATAAAAGGAAGTGTTTCCATACAAAATATTGTCAGTGTAAGTCAAAACCACACAGAATAAAAGTTAATTTATTTTACTTTGTTATTTAAGGAAGCAATAGGAAATGGACCTGCGAGTCAGTTGGGTTTTACCGGAACTTGCCAGCTGGGAAAGCAGCGTTTTCTGAGGATGGTTCCCTGCTTGCTGTGTTGTTTGGTTCCTGTATAACAGTTTGGAATCCAGAAAATAATCTATTCAAAGTGGCGTTACATAATACAATGCTCCAAGACACTGTCAAGTAAGATTTGTTTTTGAGTTTTAAGTATAGAAAAAAGAAACAGCAGATTATTATTTTAAGGATTCATTCATTTATCCAGGGCCGCAGGCAGCATTTTTTCATGTCTTTTCATGTTACTTTAAAGAAATCTTGTGTCATTTGGATCTACACAAAGGTCCTTTAAGTTTATAACTGGCTGGTGCATATATCATAACAGTTTTAGCAGTATTTATTAACATTTACACTCATTAATTTTGTTCTTTTCATTGTTTTTTGTACCGCCCTCACTTTGTTGTTTGGTAGGGTAGAGCCAGATATAGATGTGCCCTTTGTTTTAAAATCAAACTCCTGCTTTCCATCTGTAGATTTTAATGCTTCCTTGGGCTCAGTATTGAAACCCTTGAAGAGCTTAGACCAGCAATTCCATGTTTGTGTGGAACAGTTTGACACATCTTCACCACCAGGCCATCTCTCCGCTTTAACACTTTATGTTTGATAGATGATAGTATATTTTATTGCTTTTATATATGACTTAAATCATCACCAGGGATAATTTTAACTGTTTATTACAGACATGTTGTATGTGATAATATTCACTGTTTTAGTGTTTATTACAGACATGTTGTATGTGATAATATTCACTGTTTATTACAGACATGTTGTATTTGATAATATTCACTGTTTTAGTGTTTATTACAGACATGTTGTATTTGATAATATTCACTGTTTTAGTGTTTATTACAGACATGTTGTATGTGATAATATTCACTGTTTATTACAGACTTGTTGTATGTGATATTATTCACTGTTTATTACAGACATGTTGTATTTGGGAACCATGGAAGCAGTCACTGTCTAGTTAGTACAACAGAGAAAACTCTGACAGTCTGGAGTCTTATATCTTGCTCAGGTATTAAAAGTTTTTATTACATGCTTTTCGGTGGTTTATAGAAATATATTGGTGAAATAAAATTTCACTGTTTTGCATTTAAGCCCCTTACGTCGTTTCAGTGAAATACCAGCGTTCACAGTACTGGGTACCAACTTAATGACGTGACGTCGTAAAGGATGTCACGTTGTATTATTATTTGGCGCGCTTTTCATTCAGTATTTGGTTTAATGTCTTTTTAAAACGTTTCTTTGCATATAATAAAAAGAAAATTTGTTTAGTTTATTGTAAGATCGAAATATATTTCACCTTGTGAACACCAAAAGTCCATATTTCACTCTTGGCTGCGCCACTCGTGAAATATACCTTTTGGTGCTCACTCAGTGAAATATATTCCAATCTTACACTGATATAAACAAATCCTCTATATATCCTTCATCTTTGGTCTGCGAAATAAATTACACGTCCGATGCCAAAGGCGTGTAAAATCTCATTCGGGCCTGTAGAAATCCAACGATCGTAAGCCGGACTGATTTTCCATGCCTTTGTGGTTAAAATGAACGTTGTTGCTTCGAATAAAACATTAAATTAAGTGTTGTTTTTCTTGCATAATAAATGTTTTGGCCCTGTGATAATCTGTCAGGGCCTATACTTTTGCCTAGGTTGAAGGCCCAAATCTCTTATGATCTAGAAAAGTTACTTTGTCTTTATTTGACTCATCCTTCTCAAGTGTTATTCATTTTGTAATAATTCATAGTAAGTTTAACAACATTTTGCTTGAAGAACTTTAGTTATTTATTTGGTGTCTTATGTATCTCTTAGCTCCAGTTGGTGAGGTAGTTTTAACCTTTCCTCTTTCACCTTCATATAACCTATATTGTGTTTGTGTGTCATAAAACCAAACAAACAAACAATTGATCTATACATGATGTATATGATAACATCAGGAAAATGTGTTAAAAATGTAATATTTGTAATGTTTGTTTTTCTGTTTTTACTAGTGTTATGGAGTGCATCAACACAGATAGTTTGTCTGACAAAGGACCCGTTAACAGACATTGTGGCTGCCTTCACATCATCAAGGGATTGTAAGTACATGACAACCTCCGTAGAGCAACCATTTTGGTTGCTGCTGAAAGATGTTGCTCTACAGGGGTTGAATTCATTGTGAAGTCTTACGTTTAGAGGAAAAAATAATACTGTTGTGGTAAAGAGGTGATTGCTTTACAGAGAGATAATCTGCACAGGTTGTACTGTTCTGTAGTGTAATTAAGAATTTGGAAATAATTCTGAACTGAGTAAGAGTTGTATACACATAGGTGCATTGCTATAATAGTTTAGGTACAATATTTAGGTCAAATAATGTACAATAAAGAACAACAAATTTACTATGCAATATAGAGCAATTGTATATGTTAAACATACAAGGCAAATATACTGACAAATTGTTCAACTAGATATTCATTATACTCTTTTAAAAAAAAATTCATACCCCTATATTGCCAGGTATATATATATGTAAGGCTGGGGGGCAAGTATCCGAGTACTCCATTCCAATAATCACACATCAAAATGAAAAATTGAGTACTAATATTTGTCAGTCCAGAGATCATGGATGGCTATCTTATATGTTTATATACATTCACTGTTTCTCACCCTCTAAAAGTCGAAATTAAATTACAAATTGAGTATTGTCACTTATCCGATGATCCACAACCCTATATAATATATATGGTACTATTGTTGTTATATGTTAAGTTGTATTGTCTTATATGCTTAAGTTAAAAAATAATGTATTTTTTTTATTACAGTGTTTGTGTTTAGACCCATTGATCCAACACCTCTCTTCTCCCATGCTGAAGTTAGTGATAGTACCATACTCAGTGCAGCATTTGTACCTCACTCAAAGAAGAGCTTGTATGAAAAGACAACTCTGTCATGGCAGTCACAATCAGAGTTATATTTCTTGAACAAAGACCAAGAACTTTTGGCAGTGTCCATGGAAACAGATAGAAAATTGGCAAAGAAGAAGGAAGATGTTGTAAGTTTCTTTTTTTTGTTTTGTTTATCCTGCCCACTTACCTTCATAGGTAGAGCATCGGATCATCATGTTGGTTATTAAATGAGGCGACATTTTTTCGCAACAATCAATCTCAGAAATTTAGTCTAATGGTCATTTGTTTCTCACTTCTGATTCAGAAACCATGTGGGATTTTGTATTTGTTGCTTTATTCATGGATTTTATTCATTCTTGAACTTTACAAAGGAGCACTTATTACTAAACTGACAAAATGACAAATGTTACCTTGACCTTTGAATGCCCTTGACCATCAAGGTCATATACGAAATTTAAATTTCTTTGTTAAGAAAGTTATCTTCTGTTGGAATGCTGTGTATTATGATATTCTTCCCCTGATGTGTTTGACTTCAGAAATAAAAAAAATTGAGTGTCACAGTGTTCAATCTAGAGCGCGCCATTGCGCCATTGACCCCCTGAAAAGGCCGCCGGCGCAAAACAAAATCAACTGTGGGCCCGACGGGCGCACTCATAGAAAATGCCCTAAATGACATTAGAATGCTTTCTTAAACCTGATTAAGTACATAAAAGAAGTTTCTTGTGAATAATATTAATAAATACTGAATTCAAAACTGAAGTTTGTATTGAAAAACAAGAGCATGTTGGTAAGATAGTTTACCGCACTCGGTAACCCATTTAAAACCTTTGTCGCTACGCTCTCTCGGTCCGCGTCCGTAAATACTATGTACACTTGTTCTTCGTACCGTAACTATTACTTACTTTTGAGTCACAGTTTTTATAAGCAAAACAAATTGTCACAGATAATCCAATACGTGCGTGTAGTTATAGTTTTTTCACGGTCAAAACAAATAAATATGTAATTACTTTCCAAAGGAAAAAAAAATACATATTTGTGAAAAGTGCGAGTTAATTATAGAGAAGTGTGCATAAATTATTACGAACACGCCTTCATCCAATTAAAAAAGTCTTAAAGATGGAGCAATCAAACACGATTGGCTAGGGAGTGTCTGACAATTAAGTAAATTAATTTTGATTGGTCTTTGGCTGGTCGGCGCTAAAACATTGTGCATATCATTAATCAATACAGACATCTTAAGCGTGACGTAAGAACTGCTGCCCTGACAATAGATCAAAGGTACCGGTATGTCAATATACATTGTCTTAGCACCTGTTGACACTTTGTTTTTCGCTTGGATATATTGAGAAGGGTAAATGTTTTTAGCGACTATTGTAAGTTTATATTCTTCATAAACAAAGCTAATTTCAAAATATGATTTTCCTTTTTATATATCGGGCGCTGATTAAAAAACTGAACATTATTATCAAATATCCCTGGTAACATTAAAATAAGATTCATATTTTTCTTTGATCAGTATGTCATCGCGTTTCTTTACCAATCAGTTCTTAAAATTGAGCCTGTATCAACGCTAATGTCATTTTTTTTAGTTGAGTTGTTTTGGAATTTTGCAACCGTTTTTGGTCTAAATATGGTACGTGAACAAGTAACTTAAAAGATACAATACCTTATTTGAATTTGATGTTCATTTTACGTGTGGGCCCCCTTTTTTCTCAAATGACCCCCTTTTGTAAAGTTTATGGGCCCGAAGGGCCCCCTGGGAATTAGTTCTAGATTGAACACTGGTGTCACCCTCAATAGGCAGTGGCTTTTGTATAAATGTACCATTGTATTGCCAAGTAAAACAGAAAGGTTTTTATTACAATGTATTATGAAAATTATGACTTGTTTCTATTATACAGGTTTCATTTGAGCAGAACTTGCCACAGTCAGCCCTTAGTTTATTGATGTCGCACCATAGCAACAAGCTTAGACCACATTCTTCATTAAACAAAGTTGCTAGGCAACCAGACGGAAAATTTATGAAAGAGGTAAAAATAAATATTTTCCAAGTGGATTTAATGTACCAGTAAGTTTCAGTATAAATACAACAATTAGGCAGTGTTGGTGTTAATTTAAAAGACTTACCTAACTCTTTGGCATATTTAAATTCAAGTACAGTTTATTTCTAGTAATATAGGCCGCAGGCCCAAAATACAAAGTTCAACAATACAATCAAACATAAGAGTGATAAATTAAAAAAAAAACATTTGTAGCTATATGAAATGGCTTAAATTATGAAATGATTATACAGTATTAATCTTTGTTTCTTATATTCATTGCCTATTCATGTAATTCATGATATGAATATTTAGTGATTAATATTACTTCTGTTATTGTTGATGACATGAGGGAATATAATGAATGATGGGGTAAAGGTGATGTAACCATGTATCTTTGAAATAGACAGCTTTGATATTGTTGTACATGTATAATGAACATTCAAATAAAAAATGATATTCATCTTCAATAACATAAATATTTGTCTTTCAGCAATGAGAGCAATATCTTAAAACTATTTGTATATAGTATCAGACTGATTTGATTTCAATTGTTTTTAGCTCACCTGTCACAAAGTGACAGGGTGAGCTTTTGTGATCGTTTTTTGTCCGGCGTCCGTCCGTAAACTTTTACTTTAAATGACTTCTCCTCATAAACCGCTGAGCCAATTTCATCCAAACTTCACAGGAATGTTCCTTTGGTGGTCACCTTTAAAAATTGTTCAAAGAATTTAATTCCATCCAGAACTCTGGTTGCCATGGCAACGGATAGAAAAAACTTAAAATATATTCTTTTAAAAAACCCAAAGAGGTAGAGCTTAGATATTTGGCATGAAACATCTTCTAGTGAGTGTGTCTATCAAGTTTGTTCAAATAAAAGCCCTGGGGTCAAAATTGGCCCCGCCCCGGGAGTCATTGATTTTTCCTATATGTATATAGTAAAAACTTATAAAATCTTCTTTTAAAGAACCCAAAGAGCTAGAGCTAAGATATTTAGCATGAAACATGTTCTAATGGGTATCTATTAAATTTGTTCAAATAAGAGCCCTGGGGTCAAAATTGGCCCTGCCCCGGGGGTCATTGATTTTCCTTTTATGTGTAAAGCAAAAACTTTAAAAAAAATCTTCTTTTAAAAAACCCAAAGAGGTAGAGCTTAGATATTCGGCATGAAACATCTTCTAGTGAGTGTCTATCAAGTTTGTTAACATAAAAGCCCTGGGGTCAAAATTGGCCCGCCCCAGGGGTCATTGATTTTATTTATTTATGTGTAAAGCAAAAACTTAAAAAATCTTCTTTAAAAAAACCCAAATAGCTAGAGTTAAGATATTAAGCATGAAACATCTTCCAGTTAGTGTTTTCAAAGTTTGTTCAAATAAAAGTCCTAGGGTCAAAATTGGCCCTGCCCCGGGGGACATTGATTTTCCTTATATGTGTATAACAAAAACTTAAAAATCTTCTTTGAAAAGACCCAAACAGCTAGAGTTTAGATATTAAGCATGAAACATCTTCTAGTGAGTGTCTTCAAAGTTTGTTCAAATAAAAGCCCTGGGGTCAAAACTGGCCCCGCCCTAGGGGTGTCATTGCTTTTAACTATATGAGTATAGTTAAAACTTAAAAAATCTTCTTTTTTTTAAAAACTCAATGAGCTAGACCTTAGATGTTAAGCATAAAACATCTTCTAATGGGTGTCTACCAAGTTTGTTCAAATAAAAGCCCTGGGGTTTAAAATGGTCCCGCTCTGGGGGCCTATATACAGGTGAGCGACTTCAGGGCCATCATGGCCCTCTTGTTTAACAATAATTGGCTTTACAGCAAATTCTTTGAGAAACATAAAATAGTACCAGATTATGTTATGTACAGTATTACATTCAAGTAATGACATTTCAGTCCCATTTGTCTTTAGGATATTACACCTACTTCAATTTAAAACCTTAACATCCCTGTGTTAAAACCTTAAACTCTCTCATGGAATGGTGTATTATTCATGGCAGCATAGAATACTGAACTTTTGATACAGATATACATGTTATTAAACATAGTAAGAAAATTTAACAAAAACCTTTGTTTTATAAAAAAAAAACAACATTCTGTACTGTTTATTGTTTTTATGCTCCAACTTCTTCCAAGCATATAGAGTTTGCCTTTCTTGAGGCATATAGTTTGCCTTTGTCTGCTATCTATCCGTAGGCTGACAAAACTGTTTAATGGGTGGGGCATCCGTTTTCTATGGAAACATTTCTAATTATTGTTTAAACATTTATGAATATTTCAGATGTTCAGTTCAGCACCACATGTTCAACCATCAGTGACCACTCTATGTCAACCATTTATTCAGTCTCTGATGATACTTTCAGAAGAAAGACGGTGAGTGTACAATATTATAATCTTTCATAACTAACAGTTTTATTAACCTGGTTTTCAACGAAAACAGGGTTATTGTAATGCCGAAGTCGGTGGGCGGGAGGGCGTCAACTTTTGGTTTCCGCTCAATAACTTTAGTTTGCTTTGGCCTATTGGCACCTAACTTGGTGTGTAGGTAGCTTATATCAAGAGGCAGCTTGGGATTGCCACCCAGGTGTCTGTGATCAAGGTCAAGGTCACTGTTACTAAAAATAGAAATTCAGTTTCCGCTCAATAACTTGAGTTTGCTTTGGCCTATTGACACCAAACTTGGTGTATGGATAGCTTATATCAAGAGGCAGCTTGGGATTGCTACCCAGGTGTATGTGATCAAGGTCAAGGTCACTGTTACTAAAAATAGAAATTCAGTTTCTTCTCAATAACTTGAGTTTGCTTTGGCCTATTGACACCAAACTTGATGAATGGGTAGCTTATATTAAGAGGCAGCTTGGGATTGGTACCCATGGGTGTGTGATCAAGGTCAAGGTCACTGTTACTAAAAATAGAAATTTAGTTTTCGCTCAATAAGTTGAGTTTGCTTTGGCTTATTGACACCAAACTCTGTGTATGAATAGCTTATATCAAGAGGCAGCTTGAGTTTGCTACCCAGGTGTCTGTGATCAAGGTCAAGGTCACTGTTACTAAAAATAGAAATTCAGTTTCCGCTCATAACTTGAGTTTGCTTTGGCCTATTGACACCAAACTTGGTGTATGGATAGATTATATCAAGAGGCAGCTTGGGATTGCTACCAAGGTGTCTGTGATCAAGGTCAAGGTCACTGTTACTAAAAATAGAAATTCAGTTTCTTCTCAATAACTTGAGTTTGCTTTGGCCTATTGACACCAAACTTGATGAATGGGTAGCTTATATTAAGAGGCAGCTTGGGATTGCTACCCAGGTGTCTGTGATCAAGGTCAAGGTCACTGTTACTAAAAATAGAAATTTAGTTTTCGCTCAATAAGTTGAGTTTGCTTTGGCTTATTGACACCAAACTCTGTGTATGAATAGCTTATATCAAGAGGCAGCTTGAGTTTGCTACCCAGGTGTCTGTGATCAAGGTCAAGGTCACTGTTACTAAAAATGAAATTCAGTTTCCGCTCAATAACTTTAGTTTGCTTTTGCCTATTGACACCAAACTTGATGAATGGGTAGCTTATATCAAGAGGCAGCTTGGGATTGCTACCCAGGTGTCTGTGATCAAGGTTAATGTATTTAGTTTTCATGTTATAACTTGAGTTTGCTTTGACCTTTTGACACCAAACTTGCTGAGTGGCAGCTTTGGATTACCACTTAGATATCTGGGAGCAAGTTCAAGGTCAATTTCTTACAATAGAATTTTCAGCTTCTACTCAATAACTTCAGTGCAGTTTGACCTATTGATTGCTGTGGTCGTTGAAAACCTGGTTTTCGTCGCATTGCGGCGCTTCTTGTATACTGAATATCTTTGTCTGTCTAACAAATAGTGAAAGTCTCACTAAACTATCATTTAGGAAGAAAGGGTACATTTTTTTAATGCCAGATATTTTCCTTATATGGAGCAGTAATGGTATATTATCATTTGTGATGCTATAAGGAAGACTTGTTGGGGGGGTTGACTGAGAGGTTAAGGTCATTGACTTTACACCACTTGACACTCGCTACTGTGAGTTTGAATCCCCACAGGGACTTTGGATTGTTTCATGTGAGGAAGCTATTCAAATAGCTTTTGGTATGTCTGTGGTTCTACTCAGATGCCCGTTCCTGCCAGAATGCAAGGAGGGGCACCAGAGGTTTCCTCCACCAGTAAAGCTGGAAGGTTGCAATATGACTTAAACTGTGTTGGTGTGATGTAAAACACAAGTTTACAGATAACTACAGATACTTGTTGTTTTAGAAATTTCTTATGGCACTTGAGACTAAAATCGGTAAACTGTATTATCGCCCCATTAAAGCAAAAAGGTACCAAGTGACATTTTCATGTTTTGGAGAAAATCGCGTTTAAAGATTTGAAGTTCCATATCAAATCAGGTTTTAACAACATGGCAAAGAAACTTCACATATATTTAGATAATATTTGAATGTACATGCTCAAGAAGTTGGAAAGCTTATATATTACTAATTAGTGATAATTAATCAATTAAAGGAAATGGTTCCTTTTTGCACTAATAAATATTATGACCGACAAATGCAAGAAGGTACCATATGAACGCTTGGTCCCTTTTTGCATTGTATGATTTTTAACATTTGCTGTCGAATATATCAAAAAAAGGTACCATATGGCAGTTGGCACCTTTTTGTCCCAACAATATTAACAAAAAGCATCATTTGGTAACAATTTTATTCTACAATCATACAAATAATATCTTGTGTTTTCAGTAAATGTCTGATACAACTATCACACTGCATGTTTTGAAAGTCTTCCTCTGTGATCAATCTCAATGCCTATGTCAAAATCTCTTACATTGTTAGTCAAAATCAGAATCATTATCATCCAATTCCATTGTGACATAATCCTTTTCTTTCCTTTATGTTGGTTAAAGTGGCATAATAATTATAGAACTCTTTTTGGATAATTTTCTTTGCACACAAAGTAACCAAGTTATTTTTCTTTTGAATAGAAACTGGAGGTTTGGTATCATAACTTCATATATTGTTCACCATTTGTCCACTTATACTTTAGATTCTGTATTCTGAACTTCTACTACCATAAAATCTTCACCATTAAAGCTCTAATTTACAAATACTGACTTTGGGCTTTCTTTTGGTACCTGTATCCATTCCACTTGTAACCAGTTTACTCTTTGTCCGTCAATGGATGTTTTGAGTCTCGGACACTGTTTTTATTTGTTTGGGTCGTCAGACCAAACAAATAATGGTAGCGAAGTTTCAGAGCCTAATGCCGTTAATTGCAAATGCCTTAAGTAGTCCACTTTTTTGAAGTGGTTACTTCCATTTATATGTACACTAACGCCGAAAAATTCAGGGGAGATCAATGCGTTAGAATTGTCAAATGACAGGCGCATTAATTTTCAAGCAAAGTAGTTCCCGAATGGTCGAATATTTCTAATATTGTTTCATTCTTTATATATATACATGCAAATTACAGTAAGCTGCATGATTATTTACATTTGTCTTAAACAACAGGTTTAGCGTCGAAATAATAAGAGTTACAAACCCTAATTTAGAATAATATGGTTTTCTTCAGGCCGTTGAGGCAGCTCATTTTTATGCCCCCACAGAGTGGGAGCATATAGCGTTGCACTTGTCCGTCCGTCTGTCCGTCCGTACGTCTGTCCGTCCGTCCGTCCGTCTGTCCGTACGTCCCAAAATCTTGTGAACGCAACTCCTCTTAAACCGGATGGCAGATTTTGCTTAAACTTCCAGGGATGAACAACCTTAATGTGTAGATGGCAGTAAAGGAAGGAATTTTTGCTGCGACCAAATTTAACAGAATTATGGCCCTTTGTTGATTTTTTCACTATATACCATGTAAAAATTTTGTGAACACAACTCCTCTTAAACCGGATGGCAGATTTTGCTTAAACTTCCAGGGATGAACAACCCTAATGTGTAGATGGTAGTAAAGGAAGGAATTTTTGCTGTGACCAAATTTAACAGAATTATGGCCCTTTGTTGATTTTTTCACTATATACCATATAGAAATTTTGTGAACGCAACTCCTCTTAAACCGGATGGCAGATTTTGCTTAAACTTCCAGGGATGAACAACCCTAATGTGTAGATGATAGTAAAGGAAGGAATTTTTGCTGTGACCAAATTTAACAGAATTATGGCCCTTTGTTGATTTTTTCACTATATACCATATAGAAATTTTGTGAACGCAACTCCTCTTAAACCGGATGGCAGATTTTGCTTAAACTTCCAGGGATGAACAACCTTAATGTGTAGAAGGTAGTAAAGGAAGGAATTTTTGCTGCGACCAAATTTAACAGAATTATGGCCCTTTGTTGATTTTTTCACTATATACCATATATATGTTGTCAGTGGGGGCATCCGTGTCCTTTGGACACAGTTCTAGTTTTTTTCATTTTTTATGTCAAATAAACTTTGAATGGACTATCAGTGTTGCAATTAGTCTTATAGCCAAAGACTAAAAATATAGTGTTTTTACTACAGTTAAAACACTTGAAAGCATTGGTGGCACTATACAAAAACAAATTGGTTTATAATCTCACAACCTTCACCTTCCTGACATTCTGAGACCTAAACAAATCCAGCGCCTTCTGTGCTTTGATTAATGAAGTATTTGAAATCAAAAACATGGTTATATTTCATTGGCACAGCAATGTATGGCTGTGATTTTCTGGCCATAGATAAAAGAGAACACAACTGAATGATACATAATTATACAGGAATTATTTTCTTTGCCCCTTCAAGAGTCAAGTTGTCACTCCATCTGTGAGTGACCTGATACAACAAATTTATGAACAATCTTAAACTTGGAACTTGTGATAATATAAAAGAAGAGATGCAGCTATGTATCAGTTTCTGTTTTGTCCCCGTAAAACAGGCAACATAAACGCATGAGTCACCTTTTGCTACAACTTTATTTTAAATCTTTTCTTCTTGTGAATTTTCTTTCTGTTTTTGATGTTCCTTGATCGTGCCATCTAGTGTGCCTACTGCCTTCCTATATTGATGTTGCTTAACAGGTTTTATTTCCTTCTTTTCACTTTCAATAGTTTACAGTTTCCACATCTTTTTAATGTTTAAGTCATAGTCATGAGATAGGTATTGTTTCTTTCAGTTTTTTTTTCTTGTATAATGAGATTTCATTTTAGGAAATTACTCTTTATGCTGTTTCACCAATTTAACTATATCATAACCTAGTTTATTTGCAGATGTACGCTTCCCTGTCATGCTCTTCCTTCCATATAACCCATGTATCCTGTTGGCAAGAGTACAGTCAATTACTTTTCTTTTTATGTCCACGTTTTTGTGAAGAAGTCATTTATACACTATCATTCTCTGTGCACTGTTATCATTCCTCAATTTAAAACAGAAACAATACTCTGGGATTTATTGTTATAATTGATGTCCTTAGCAACATCTAGATTGTGTTTTCATTAAAAAGCTAAAAGGTACCAAGCAAACAATTTAATATATAAAATAATCTTAAGGGTCGTAATTTTTTTTTTGTGCAGAAAGGGACCATGTGACACATGGTTCCTTTTTGCATTAAAATAAATGCTCAAAACATATATAGTCATACAATGCAAAAAGGTACTATGTGGCACTTGGTACCTTTTTGCTCAAACTGATGTGCATATGGTACCTTTTTGCATTACTAAATGGGAAAATATTGACATAGTACCTTTTTACATAACCTTATATGTCTGTAAATAAACATGATACCATAGAGATATTTCTACAGATTAAAGATAACATTAAAACATAATGAAAAATGTTAAAAAGTCATTTTTGGCCAAAATGTCGCTTGGTACCTTTTTGCTTTAATGGGGCATTATGATAAACTAGAACCATGCTGTTGTGAGTTTATGATGCCATGTGAAATGACCTGACATACTTTAAGTTTTTGGCAATTGTATAGCTTTGTATATGTATAGATTTATTTTGTGTAGATATAAGAGAAATATTTAAAACTGTTTAAAAATTGTTATTGTATTTTATTACAGTAAACAAGGACAAAATGACAGTGATGATGATGACTTATCAGAAGAGGAAGATGATATTAGACCCTATCAGACTGTGTCTCTAGATTCTGGTCTGGAATCTGATATGGAAGTTGACACAGTTGATACACAGTCTGTTGAAGTTATAAATAACAGCAAATTACAGACTGAAAGTGACTCTGATGAAAATGAGGCAGCAGTTTTAATAAAGAAAAAGACAAAAAATAAATTGAGAAACGAAACAACTGTAACAGCAATTTGTGAAAAATTGGACAAAGTAAAAATGTTTGAAGAAAAAGTGACTGATGAAGATCTTCAAGAAATATTTACTCAAGATTACAGTTGGTTTTCCTCTTCATCTAAAACATAATTATATACTTTGAGATGTTGAAGATTTATACACACCATATTAAAGATTAAAAAAAAGTATACTTCTTTTATATGTTATACATATCAAGCAAAAATGAAAGTAGGTCATCCTAAATAAAACATTTTTTAGTTCCTCCTTTGTAGAAAAAAGTGGAGCTATTCTCATGACCCTCTTGTAAGCATTGGTAACCTTTTTGTTTGACCTTCACATTAGTCATATACATACAATATCTCAATTCTAAACTTCCCTGTTCACTCTGTATCTTTTGAACATATGAAAAATATTAAAACTATTTCATTACAGCAGAAATACATTGTATTACTTAAAATAAGATATGTGTCTGCATAGGTTGTTGGATCACTGACTCATCTAGGAAAACACATTGAAGTGTTACTGTGTGAAACTACATGCCCAGAGCTTAGATATTTGGCATGTAGCATTGCCTTGTAGACCTATGCAAAAGTTACATTAATTATGCCCTATGGATCAATATTTGTGCCACCAGAGGATCATTTGTTTAATACAGACTTGTAAATGGAAAACACATTTGAGGTTTCTTGTGTGACACTACAACATGTACAATGTCAAGAGCTGAGAAATTTGGCATGTTGCATTTGCCAAGGCAAAAACTAAATTAATCACTTCAAACTTGGAATACTTCTTCTATTTAAAATTGAATGCACTTTTTAAGTGCTGGTAACCTTCAATTTAATTTAGTTCAGTTTTGCCCCTTTTTAGCTCACCTGTCACAAAGTGACAGGGTGAGCTTTTGTGATCGTTTTTCGTCCGGCGTCCGTCTCTCCGTCAGTCCGTCGTCCGTAAACTTTTGCTTTAAATGACATCTCCTCATAAACCACTCAGCCAATTTCATCCAAACTTCACAGGAATGTTCCTTTGGTGGTCACCTTTAAAAATTGTTCAAAGAATTTAATTCCATGCAGAACTCTGGTTGCCATGGCAACCGAAAGAAAAATCTTTAAATATCTTCTTTTAAACAACCCTAAGAGCTAGAGCTTAGATATTTGGCATGAAACATCTTCTAATGAGTGTCTACCAAGTTTGTTCAAATTAAAGCCCTGGGGTCAAAATTGGCCCCGCCCCAGGGGGTCATTGATTTTCCCTATATGCATATAGTAAAACTTAAAAAAATCTTCTTTTAAAGAACTGTAAGAGCTAGAGCTTAGATATTTGGCATGAAACATCTTCTAATGAGTGTCTACCAAGTTTGTTCAAATAAAAGCCCTGGGATCACAATTGGCCCCACCCCAGGTGGTCATTGATTTTCCCTATATGCATGTAGTAAAAACTTTAAAAATCTTCTTTTAAAGAACCCAAAGAGCTAGAGCTAAGATATTTAGCATGAAATATCTTCTCCTGAGTGTCTACCAAGTTTGTTCAAATAAAAGCCCTGGGGTCAAAATTGGCCCCGCCCCAGGGGGTCATTGATTTTCCCTATATGCATATAGTAAAAACTTAAAAAATCTTCTTTTAAAGAACCCAAAGAGCTAGAGCTAAGATATTTTGCATGAAACATCTTCTAATGAGTGTCTACCAAGATTGTTCAAATAAAAGCCCTGAGGTCAAAATTGGCCCTGCCCCAGGGGGTCATAGATTTTCCCTATATGCATATAGTAAAAACTTAAAAAATCTTCTCTTAAAGAACCCAAAGAGCTAGAGCTAAGATATTTGGCATGAAACATCTTCTAGTGAGTGTCTACCAAGTTTGTTCAAATAAAAGCCCTGGGGTCAAAATTGGCCCCGCCCCGGGGGGTCATTGATTTTCCCTATATGCATATAGTAAAAACTTAAAAAATCTTCTTTTAAAGAACCGTAAGAGCTAGAGCGTAGATATTTGGCATGAAACATCTTCTTGTGAATGTCTACCAAGTTTGTTCAAATTAAAGCCCTGGGGTCAAAATTGGCCCCGCCCCATGGGGTCATTTATTTTCCCTATATGCATATAGTAAAAACTTGAAATCTTCTTTTAAAGAACCCAAAGAGCTAGAGCTAAGATATTTAGCATGAAACATGTTCTAATGGGTGTCTACCAAGTATGTTCAAATAAAAGCCCTGGTGTCAAAACTGGCCCCACCCCGGGTGTCATTGATTTTCCTTATATGTGTATAGCAAAAACTTAAAAATCTTTTTTGAAAAAACCCAAATAGCTAGAGTTTAGATATTAAGCATGAAACATCTTTAAGTAAATATCTACAAAGTTTGTTCAAATACAAGCCCGGGGGTCAAAACTGGCCCTGCCCCAGGGGTGTCATTGTTTTTAACTATATGTGTATAGTAAAAACTTAAAAAATCTTCTTTTAAAAAACCCAATGAGCTAGAACTTAGATGTTTAGCATGAAACATCTTCTTATGGGTGTCTACCAAGTCTGTTCAAATAAACAAATAAAAGCCCTTGGATAAAAATTGGCCCGGGGGGGGGGGGGCTATATACAGGTGAGCGACCTCAGGGCCATCATGGCCCTCTTGTATTACATATAAACATATGAACCTTTCTCAAAAAGTGTCTAAAAATTGCTTAATTATTCTCTTTTTTTTTTTACTAAGAACATTTGCAAAAGAGCATGTTAGATGTTCTTACCACTAGAAGAAAGTGGTACTAATAGCAAAATTATTTGTCATAAAAGTTACAAAATGTTACAAAGTATTCAATATTATATCTCAATAACTGTACAAATTTCAAAAAAGCCACAGGAATGGTAATTTGTCTATGAGTAACTTTGGAAACTAAAGCAGGACATCGGAAATAAAAAGCTTTTCCATAAATAATGGTATTGGAGGACTTCTTACAAATTTTTACAAATTTCGGCTGGAATATTTAAAACGGAGAAATATTATATATGTAAAAGATAATTAAGAAATATACTCAGAAATAAGTTGAAATTCGTTATTTCTGTGCTATTCTTAGCTAATTTTGTGTGAAAAGCATTGCAACATTTTTCAATTTTTGAGCCATTTTTCACAATTGGAGTAAATATTCTGTATACAGGGAGTGAGCGGATGATCTGATATTTTGCACACAAGTAATCAGTCTAACCTACCTCAAAAGGAACATTTATGCAAAAAAATATTTCCAGTCCCATGTCAAAAACCACAGTGGGGCACCTTCAGTTAATAATGTTTAATGTAATCAAGGTAATGAAAGTTTTGTTTTTTACTCAGTTACACAGAGATTTTATCGTTTTATCAATGTCAAAGAAAGAATTTCCTCTTTTAAAACTTTGTTGAACTGTTTTATGTTTTTCAAAAAAAAATGTCAAAAACTTGGTCAATCCCCAGTCCCTATAAAAATATAGTTCAAAATGTGTATTATCAGATGAAATTAGAAATGTTTGTTATCAGATGATAGATTATAGTGTGATAATTACTTGTACACCTGGATAATGTAAACATAAAATGATAATTTTAAAGATAATTATAATGATAACTGTACAATAGGGAGTGTTTGTTTACTATAGAGATAAACTACTAGTGTGAGTGTAATTGTGTACAATAAGTAAGGTTCAAACTTCATTACAGGTCATACGCGACGCTTAATGTTAGTCAGCAATTTGAGTACAATGTCCTTATTTTCAGTGCAATTTTCGCCTCACAATATAATGCGATTTTATTTCAATGACGATAGGTCACCATAGCTTGAACATGTCCCTGCATTACATTGCCCGTTTCTTACTATATGGGTTCGAATCCTGCTACATAGGTTCCCGCTCTTGCATTAACCCTGACCACGCTAAATATCATACAATGGACTTGTCCGTCTTTCAGTCTGGACATAACCATTCAAATTTTTTAGGAAAGTTTCAAAATGTGAGCTAACAGTTCAGACAGTGATCAGACGGCACGGGTGAACGGATTAACGGTAGATTTACGACCAGCAGACTAAATGTTAAATAATGCATAGAAGAGTCTGCGAGGTCTTTCACCAACAGAAAAGCTGGAATGTCGCTGCTTAATCATAATATTAAAAATCGAACGCAAAAAAAAAAATATTAATTAGCTTAAAAAAGGCTTTTTATTTTTTGTCAGTCGATATTAATAAACATAATCATATCTGCAATATTGTTAAAGAGAGTACTTTCAACCAATGGTTGATATTATTTTAAAGCATCATTAATCCATTTGTTACAAATGTAGGTCAAAATCGATTATTTAAGACTGCTTCACCGGAAAAAATCAATTTTATAATTTAACCTTTTCTCGGTCACCGTCTATTGATATTTTTATTTATTATATAATGAATTACTTCTATATTTAAACGAATGACATCAATAAGAATTCGGACTGTATAAAGTAAAATGATTTACACAATACCACTTGCCTTTGTTATTGTTTCTTGTTAGGTACATTGAGACTGTACGCGACTCTATCAGGATAAAACACTTGTACTAAGATTAGATTACATCTTTAATAAGTAAAATAAAATAAAACAAACGTTCTTCAACATTGTCTTAAAAGATACAAGGCAATATTTACATCGCAGTTTATCAAAGATACAATTAAGACCACATCATATTAAATTGTAGAAAAAAATTTGTTCATCACACATCTTTTTAATAAATAGTGTAAAACAGCTAAAATTAGTACAGATTGATAAATGGACTATGTAATCCAATGGACAATATGTTACTTTAGTGTTGTCTCAGGAGCAAGGAGCAAGTATAGTATGTAAAGGAACAAATGTACACAGTACAATTTTATAGTCTCCCCTTGATTCCAGAAATAAGTGTATGCTTTTGAATACCCTTTTCATGAGGTGTCCAACATCCTAATCTACTTATAGTTTAATATGGTCGTATACGCTTTCGATATTTTCATACAGTTCATTTTTATATGGCCGAACATTTGGTCTTGGAATTTGTCGCATTTCCACAGTGTCCGAATGGTGTCTTAGAACAGTTTCAAGTTCTTGACCTGCGCATGCACTTGGACTATAACTTAGGCTTCTGCTACTGCTTTTTCTTCTTTCACTGAAATCTTCATGAATTTTATGGCCATTGTGTCCTTGAGAAATTTTTCGTGTGGTGGACATGTGTTCGCCAATTCTGCTCGATCTATGATTCCAGACTGCCTGGTGTAATTTTGGCCTTAACTGTACTTCGCTTTGACTTTTCCAACTAGCTGGTCGCGAACATCTGCTTTTACTAGCTAAAGAGAATTCGTCATAATTTATAATATGTCTTTGTCCGATATTTATGCTCACGCGGTCGTCTGCTCCACTGTTCCGGTTACGCTTCCGGTAAGTTACAGCAAATCCATTGCTTTTCTTTACTAATTTTCGCCTGAAATATAGATACCTATACATATATAAGGTTATGGATTTAGTTAATAATTTAGCTTTATAATATATCATATTAAACGATTCTTTTCTTCTTCTTAATTTGTGGCCGGTTTCCGTTATACGCCAAACACAAACTCAGCTCGAACACTGAATGGCCAACAAAGGTGGAAAATAGGTCAATGTCATATATTGCTCATTAAGGATAAGAAATAGGTCACTAGGTCAAATAGAACAATCAAAGTAAACACTCTTGATGATTGTCAGAACAAACAATGATGATGACGGTGATGATGATGATAATATTAATTTAACGATGATGATGATGATTGTCATAACGATAACAATAAATAGGTACATGTATTACTGAAACTTTTTACATATTGTTTGTATGATGTTAATGGCCATTTAGCAATTTCATTATCATAAAAACTAAAATAAGTATACATGTATACAAAATGTTGTCAAAACAAAGTCCATTTCATTCTGCAAACTTTTTAAATTAGATAGCAAGTAACGGTTTTGTATTTCAGATGAGTTTGATAAACGAAATATGCATACTTTTTTACTGAAAATTCTGATGTATAATATAGGGAGATAGTAATGGATGTTATAAAAGTGAAACGTTACCTATAGAGCACTGCAAATAAAATAAGTGAAACTCCAACAATTATTCCCACAATGCCTATTACAGTGGCTACGATAATTTGTATTTTTGTTTCCATAGTAATGAGTTTTTACATAACATTACTAAAACACAAATCTAATATTATTGAAGTCTTTGTTGCTTTTTTTCTTATATTACGCTTTTTCTCCGTTTCTATTTGTGTTTCGCTTATTTTTCACTTAATTTTCGTGTTCTCTCTTCTTATTTTCCTTGCTTATTTTTATGCTCTCTATTGAACGTTTGTCGCTTACTTTTCGTGTTTTATATACATGACACTGTATTCTGGCTTATAATTTTGTTGTCTCTATATTAGGCACTATCGCATATTCTTTTTGCTGGCGCTATTGTATTTACTTCCGCTTATTTCACTAATGACTCGCTTCTATTTTCTCACGCTTATTTTAATGGTATTTTTTCTCTCGCTTACACAGTTATGGTCTCTTAATTTCTATTTCTGTCGGTATTTTTTTTTTTTCGTAGTCTCTAAAGTCTGTATTTCACATTGTCTATCTCTGTCGCTTATTTTTCTGCCTCTACCCTAACGTATTCCTAGTCTGTTTGTTAAGTTTTCAATTACAACACGATTTAATATGATTTGTTGTTTCTTTCACATAAAGAAGTGTACATTTGTATTTGTTTTCTTTCGTGCTTAAAAGTTCACTGCGGAAATCTTAAACTACCACCTCAATTAAAGTTGGATTTCCACCAATGACGTATTAAATCTTTCCGAACTGTTATATCATCTTTTCTTTTTATATGTATCTAAATCATCATTGAAATTAACTTTAATGTTTTTCTTTGTTTATGTTTATATACAATAAGTAGTACTGTATTGTTTCACTTTTAAGTAATGAGTTAGACTATATTTTGAAGTGTCACTGACCGATTATTGATAACGATTGGTGATTTTTATGTAGCCTATATCGGCTTAATAGAATGACCTGTATGAATTAAGATAATAGATAAATGAATTAAACTGATAACTTTGCAAGTATATTACTTTTCCATATTATATTTCCCATCACGAGCATAATTGCTCATTTCGCAGTAATACTATGGAACGCGATTGTTGTAAAATCCCTATTCCATTCCGGTCGCGTGACCAAAGCAAATCGTTTCAAAAGTCTGTACACATTACCTCACAGTGGATGCAATATTGGTTCATTTAATTTTAGGCTGTATACTTTTTGACTTTTGAAAATTTGGTATATGCTTGCATGCCTGCGTTAGTCCTTTTCCCTTACATGTTCAAACATTTGGTTGCTTACCTTACGAATAAACTCATATGAATTTTTAGTTTGAAACCAACAAATAAGTTTGCAGCATTTTTTTTCTTCTTCAGAATGTCTGTCTTAGGGGGTCACTTAATTCAAGTCAACTTATGATTAACAACGTAAAAAAAACTAAAATGTGTTACAAGATGACTGTTAATATCCACATTTAAAATAAATACAGTAAAATTTCTGCAGTACAATAGTCTAATATATCAGACGTTACGGTACGGGTCTGCCAAGAAAAAGCAACGTCATATTTAACTGTGCAACCATCACCAGAAAATAGTAATATCGATCATTTTAACTACATGTATGTGATTATACATCTGCCCAGGGTCTTTCAAATATAAATCTTATTGAAAGACCATGGTATAACTAAGCATATACTATGAGGTTAAATGCTTTGATGCGTAACATACTGAATTCTGTTGAAAAAATACATGGCTATTTGACGAGCCGGGTCCAATATAGGTTTTGCAGCAGTGTCCGAGTTTCAATAGAATCAGTATCGTACTAGCCTTATTTCAGACAACCATTCTTTTGGAGTAAACACATTAAATTAAAGAAAGCAATAAAAACCTACAGTTTATTTGTATTAAAATAAGAATACATAACTTCGAGTCCAATATGGATATATGGAACTTTTGGACTCACAAAATGTTATCTCGCACCCATGACATAACTATCTCGCTCTTTCAAATTCTTTATTTCTCTCAGTGCAACATACATGATAAAAACATGAGGTATATAAACAGTGAATATTTGTTTAAAAATTTACAGAGGACAATCACAAGACATTAAAATAAATTAACCATCTAAAATTTGTTTTTATTTTCTTCTTTCGTTCAGTTATTGAGTGTAATGATTCTGCAGCATAATAAATATATTCATAATACATTTTTCAATAAAAATTACATTTTGACCACGCGTTAGTTATTTCTAGTATGAAATTAACATGAAATGATGTCTATTTCATAAAGCTAGCTTTTGACACCTGTCGCATGATATCGGACAAACGACAAGTGTTTTATTGTGAATTTGAATTTATCGGCTGAAATATTCTTTATAAAGTGATTTTGAATATATTTCACTATGAATTTTGGTATACCGAAAGCTACCAATGCAGTGCTGTTGTCATTAAGGAAAATGTAAGTATTAACATTTTAATTTATAGACTTGTTTCTTATTTGTGAGTTTTGGTTTTGTTTTCAATATTTTTTTTAAGTTTTTGAGCTTGTTTTTATCTCTGTGGTATTTTCTTGTTTAATCCGCTCATTAATTAGGTTTTCTTCCGCTTTACGTTTTTCAAATGTTAATTGAAAAGAAACATTAACTAAATAAAAAGACATATGTATCCCTATTGATTGGTGTTTATAAAAGTATCCTTCCAAAAGTTCAACTTTATTCATTTTAAAGCTACTACAAGTATGTGTCCTTTTAATGCTCACTTATCTTCACTAGAAACTGGGATGTACGAACAACATTTCTGGATAAAGTATTGTAGCGCAATTGGAACATTTCGGCTATTATCAATAAGACTAACGGAATATGCCGAAAAGTTGCGATTGACTGTTGGGATGATACGGACTGGTTTGGTACACTGGCTCGCCCAACAAATTGTGCGCTTTATGGCTTTTTAATTATTATGCCCCGCCATAAAATGGCTAGGGCATATAGTGTTACACTGCTCCGTCATTCCGTCATCATCAGTTTACGTTCTTATCTTAGTACTTAACGGTTGCACACATTTAACTCAAATTTGACATATGGATATATCGTCAAGTTCGAATTTGGTCATGGTCCGATGATTTTTGGCAGAGTTATTCCCCTTGTTGAAATTTTCAGTTTCTGTCCATTATCTCCCTAACGGTATTACACATTCATCTCAAATTTGACTCATGGATACGTAAAAGGAATGCGCAGGTCAAGTTCGAATTTGGTAATGGTTCGATGATTTTTGGCAGAGTTATGCCCCTTTCACTTTGAAAATAGGAAATTTTCAATTTCGTTCATTATCTCCCCAATAGTTGTACATATTCAACTCAAATTTAAAATATGGATATGTCATAAGAATACACTGGTCAAGTTCGAATTTGGTCATGGTTTGATGAAAGCTGACAGAGTTATAGATTACAAAAAAATGAATTATATCCCTCTTGAACTTTTTAGTTTCCGTTCATTATCTCCCTAATGGTTATACAAATTGAACTCAAATTTAACATATAGATTCATCTTAGGAATAAGCAGTTCAAGTTCGAATTTGGTCATGATTTTGGACAAAGTTATCTCTCTTGAATGTTGGAAAAAGTTTGAGTTTTCAGTTTCAGCACTCATACTTTTGTGGAAATGTTTTGTTTACATTGAATAGTTTTAATGGCTTTGAACTTAAAATGAATACACATTTGGAACTAAATATTGTTACATCGGAAATTTTGGCTGCATGCGAAGGCATCCGTAGCGTGACGACACATTTCTAGTTATATAGACGATGGTCGCTCTCCGCTCTTAAAGACCGACATCTATGTAATATCATTTTGTAAAATCGGTCGGTTTTGCAGTCGAAATATTGAGACTATTGCACTGGCCATACCAGTACACCATTAAATTTTAGGAAGACCTTTGAGAACTGTTGTTGTTGTTGTTGTTTGGAAATATAATGGGAGTGCCCGACCATGATATTTCGCTAGGTTTATGTTTAATACACTGATATATAATATGAACATAGATAACACTCTCTTTTACAGTACCTACCAATTTTTAAACATATTATTGAAAGACTTAAACACACACTGTTGAAGAAATTGCAAATGTATATACTGTATGGCAGTTTCCGGTGACAATTATTAATAACTGTACCATACACATTCCAAAAAATCACACTAACTAAATAGTAAATACAATATATACGGAAGTATATATATGCAATTCACACTTGTCCATGGTTTATAAATATATTATAAACACTTAAAAATTTCATATCTTCACATTTCAATGTATTTAGTCACGTAACAAATTCATGCTGCACATATATTCTACATAGTCATATCACATAGTCATATTACATGTTCATATCAAACATTCATGCTGCTCATTCATGTCGCAAAGTCATGTCACACGTTCATGTCACATATTCATATCAATCATTCATGTCACATACCGTAAAATCGCCCAGAGTCATGAAGAAACAGTAATAATGTCTCTTAAAAGATACATGAAAAATACATGTATTTAGCTCATCAAAACTCTTCTTGTAGATCTGAAAATCTCTCAGAAGTCAAATAAAAAAATAAAAATTAAAAAAAACGGTAGAAGAGGAGTTTCAAGGAAACGTCTGGTCGTGGTTTCTTCTGTCTTGAAAAGATTGTCAGTCCCTTTCTTATATTTGACCAATCCTTAACCTGCTGAAACCTTTGACACCGGACTGACCAGGCTCTATACTATTGGCACGTAAACTTTAAACTTCCCTTATATTGATGAATTTGAATTATGACACATTCTTTAAGAAATTCAACAAATTAAAAGATTTCCACCTTTTTACACAGTTTTTACCAGTCTGACTTTCAAATTTTCGGAGATCATTATATACAAGTTAAATGACTTTTCGAGGAACCATTTTTCAAAACGGAAAAGCCGCCATTTTATTTCCAAATCTGAGCTGGTTCCTTATATGTCTGCACATATCACGTAATATTAATGGCGAACTGTTAAAGCGCAATGCTGTAGAATCTGGAGTTCTAATGTAGAAGCCATTGGAAAGATTTCGTGAAAAATATAGTCAAAATTACTTTGAGGTTTATTTTCACTACAGATACAGCCGATGAGGTGGATGTTCTAGTAAATGACGCTGGGTAGGTGACTTTTTCAATGGGGTTCATAGGTGAATCAAAACTTCGAGAACAGATATGGGGTGTAGATGGAATCAGCGGCGGGCAGCCTTGCTCACGTGACTTTTCTGTTGGGCAAAACTGGTCGATATCAACCTTTGACAAGACATCGTCAGTTTTCTTGCACTTGTTGTTTAACCGATCGTTAAAAATAGCATGAGTTGGATGTTTTGTCCAGAGCCACGCTAGTTTACAGTCACAAACAAAACTCGATCTCGTTATGTCGAAGTCATAGCCCGACGCAAGGACGCTTGCTATTGATCCACACTGCCATTCGTTTATAACTGAATTACTCATGTACATGAGCGTTATATTTGTGAGACTTGAGAATCCATTGACGAGGAACCTGTCCACGGTGCAATCCACTAGGCCTATCTCACCAATGTGTGCAAAAGTTTTCATTGCCAATGGATGTATTGTTGAAATCTTTGTATTATAAAAATCAACGCTTTCAACATTGTTCACATTGTGGAATGAATACGAGAACATGTCCCCTATTGCTGATCCGGCAAACTGGATAATCGAAATGTTATAAAGATTTGAAAATGCGTTTCCCTCTATTTGATCTATACTAGAGTTTTGAAACGAAATTTTAGTCATGTTCTCTAATTCAGCGAATGAGCATGCGCGAAGTTTTACAATGTTGCAGCCTAGGAAATGTATCTCTTGCAGAAAGGGTAGATCCAGAAATGCATTAATCGGAACGTAATCGATGACAGAGTCGGAAAGGAAAAACCTTTCCGTCATTTTAGGAATTCCTTCCGGGAAAATATTCGTATTCGAACAATTGACGTCATATTCGTGGCACGTGCAAAGAAACGGACATTCTCGATCACTGACGAAGTCTTCTTTTTCACCAAGCACGAACAAGACGAATAAGAAGCTCAGGCAAATAAGCACAACAAGCGTGGCATTCATGTCTGGAAAAAAAGGAAAATATCACACATTCAATATCACAATGCACTATTATATGAAAGTAAAATATATGATGGTATGAATTAATTTCGTTTTCATTATCTTCAGATTTCAGGGATGATAATAAAGCAGCAGACTTTCATTTCTATGTACATTAATTTTCATTGTATGATAAAAAACGCAGGTCTTATCTCGGCGGTGCAATTTCCTGGGAGTGTTATAAGACCTTCTATCACATTTTAACATAAACCTTTTTGTTGTTTTAGACAAAATGCTATTTTTACAATATTCAGGAATACTGGATACACTTAGTGCACGCTAAATTTCAAATCACTTTGTAAATAAAACTGGGCGATTTTTTTATCAGTTAATGATTTGAGAGAGTTAAGAAAAAAAGTTTTCTTTTTTTTCATATTGCCTCTAACGTAATCTCTATGACCACCTAAAACCACTTTAACTTTAGCTACCTTAAATCAGTCTAAAATGTACAAAGTTGTCAATCAATCGCATCATGATAAGAATATTGATAATAGCCAAGATTGACTCGTTAATTAACTCGTTAATTAAATAGGATTTGAGCTGCCTAGGTTCAAATCCGTTGCTTTTAGATGGAGATATTTAAAGGACAAGGCTGCAGGCTGAGGTTCTATTCTGGTGTGAACAACAAAAAGCAACTATTTTTCCTTGTTACCCGTTAACTAAATAACCGAAGGACTACTCGGTACCCCTCGCCGATACAGTTGCAGTAATAAGTAATAGTTCATATAATTTCGGTTAACTTCGTCTCTTTCCGTTACTTTCTGTTTCGAGAATGCTTACGGAACAAAATTATAAATTTATAAGAATATACTGTAAAGATGAAAAATCCGAAAGAAATTGATTATCAATTTAATTAAAACCAGGCAGAAAGATTTTATTGTAGAAAATAAAATTAATAAAACTATTTGAAATTCAAATAAATGAACTTTTAGACTCTTTCTTTAAAATGACTACTTCTAAGAAGACAGAAACTAACATATAATATACACCAGTAAATATCTATTAACTTTCGATAATGATAATTTTTCTTTCACACTCAGGAATGATAATTTGCCATTCACCTTCAGTAATGATAATTAATGATAATTTTCTATTTTCCTTCAGTAATTCAGATATTTTCCATTTGACTTCATGTTTTAAAGATATTTCATCAAGAAATATGATGAAACATTTCGTTTCATTGCTCCTTTGTACATACATATACACAGAAACAAAATGTTAATGTAATAACTCGTAGCAAAATGGTTTTCACACAAAGTTGAATATATTATACCATATTCAAGATGTAGATTAGCGAGCGAATTTAAATACCCCATTTTCTACTGGTGCTTTAAGCATATATTATGATATAATAAGATACAAAAGTCTTTTATAACTCTGTAGAGAGTGGCAATATGCTTTTTAAATATGTATAAATATGTTGTTTTTATTTATTTATGATATGTTGTATCACATTGATAATACTATAATAAAGAATAAAATAACATGAGCGGACTAAACCATTTTGTTCTTCATTATTTCGGCATAATAAAATTAAATAATTAAATAATTAGATAATTAAGAAAAAACAACGAAAGATTAAACGCTTACCTGCTAAGGCTTAAAAATAAATTCTACTCTTGTTTTTGTTATTTAAAACTGAGAAATGTTCACAAATGTCTCGTGCCGTAATGACCCGAGCAAACGTGAAAATAGTAGTATAATATTGTAAACACAACTTTAAATAATCACTTAGACCACAATTCAAGTGAATAGGAAGTAGTATAAGAGGTAATTTCCCGCAACAGCGTGTAAACATTAGAGTAAACCCACTTAAAGCTTTTCCCTCGCAAATTTTCTGAAAGCAAATTGAAGGGACTAAGATATGTTTTCAACGGATTTCTTGAAATTGAAATAGCTAAAGAAAAATAAGTTCACATAAAACAATTGGTTAATTTTCATCATTCACTGTCCATCACACACTGTACGTTACTCGCGTGTGTTTAAAGTTTATTAATATTGGGCGCCGGCTATGTCATATGTCCCAGACTATCAGCCTCTGTCACGTCGCTGGTCGTAGAGCTGCTACAGGGGAATTAGTTCAATCGCCTCTATATGTCGCTGATCGTAGAGCCGAAACGGAGGACTTCTAGAGCCGGATCTTCACTCCAGGACCAAATTCTTCCTATCGCAGAACAAAGGAAGGCTAAAGTTGAAAGGCACCTCTTCCGGGAGCATCTTTTATAGAGCCACACACATCACATGACCTAACTAGGTCACCAGTCTGGTGTGATCTATGTACTCCGAGCGACATGCACGCCGCGAAGGGATGTCTAAGTGAACAGAAAAGTGTAGAGTGCGGAGTATAAAAGCTTTTTCTGGATGCATTCCGATGCAATCTTCTCTCTTCCCCTCGGTACGTGTACGTCGCACCGGCAGATGATTGAAGAGTAAGACGGCAAGTTCGCATGTTTTCTACAGCTCGGGGTTACGTATAAGGCGGCACGACTTAGCTTGCATGAAGCTAGATGCCGGTGTCCTGACTAAAGCCGAGGGGAGTGGCCCTACAAAGTAGGCTCTTAGTCGACGAGGATGGTGTGCTAGGGTGCGTGAGCCCCTAGTGCGGTTACACGGCTTGAACGGCAGGTATTTTGCTGGCACAAACACCCCTTCCTTTTCATGGCTACCCTTGTCATATTGTCTCAGGTTACTGTACATTTAGGTTCTCATTGACCGCCCTACAGTGACCTATTTTTGCCATTTTTTGGATCAAAATTCATATATTTGGCTAACAATCGGTGGAAATTGCATGGAGGTAAATTATCACCACTTTGTGCTTCAAAATTAAGTCTTTAATGACATGACTGGTGACATGTCCGGGGTCCGTACTCGACTGCGAAAGCTGCATTTTGTGCCTGAAAGGGCGGATAGACCATCATTAAGCATAAATTACACACACCCATACATTCCACTGCAATAAGCTTGAATAAACATTCCAAAAAATATGCTAGATAATAATATAATATCAGCATTTTTTTTTGGTAGTAAATAAAGGATTTTTCTAGCTATTGCATTAATTTTCGTTTTGTAAGATTTATGAAAAATACTTTTGTTCAAAGTGTATATCGATTTTATTCTTAATATACGAAACGAGAGCTTTAAAAAACAGGAAAGCTGATTAAAGTGCAAAGCTATCTAGCGTTTCGTGTTCACGTACGCAGTTTGGAAAAAAGTAGCAATTCATTATTTTTAAATGTAGTAAATACGGCTTTTAATCAAGTGTTTTTAGTTTGTTCCGTAATTGAACTTTGTCCAATTAACTTATTATGAAAAAAGAGAAGTCGTCTCTGAATGTGTAAGAAAAGAAACGCCCGTCTCTGATAGAAACGATTTTATTTTTTTAATTTCAGTTTAAGAAAAAAGGCTTTTTAAAATTTAATAACTCTTCTGTTTCGTAAAAAAAGGGGCCACAAAAACCTTTTCCCTCCCCCACCCCCCTCTTCTCGAAAATTGAAAATTTTTTCAGGGGTTGTTAAAAAAGAGGGTTGGGGAAAAAACCCAACAATTTTTAATATTTTTGGACTAATGGCCCCTGGACTATTGCCCCAAAAAATAGCCCCCAAACCCGGGGTCCTTTAGTTATGTTCGGTGGTATTTTAAAATGTTTAAGCCCGTCGCATTTGGGAAACCTGCAAACAAAAATAATAACTTTAAAATTAAAAAAATTTAAAAAAAAAAATATTTCGGGGGGTTTCATCGAGTCCCCCTTGACAAAACGGGGGAAAAATGCCCGGAAACGGGAAATTCCCGGTCTTTTTGGGGATATCTCTATCCCACTTCGCCATTTCAAACTATTTCATCATTTTGTACTAACAAGAGCAAAGTTAAAAGCTTATTATATTAATGTACAAGTCACGCTTCCAGCTTTAAAAATAAATGTATGGAAACATTTATAATTTCAAAAGAAACTTATCATTATTTGCTCCTGGCGTTAATGAAGGATTATTATTTAAACAGACCACAATTACACAAAGTAACCCGGATGCAGATGGCTATATTTAAATCACGCATGTCTTAAATAACGCTTCTTAACAATGTTTGGTATTTATACATCAAAAAAAAATACCGCGATTTATCTTTTAGTCCTTATTTTTTTTTAGTACAAATTCTTGTCGTTTACGCCCCGTTTAAGTAGGAAAAACGTATCCAAAAAATTTTTAAAAGGGCCCCTTATGCCCCACAAATGTTATCATTTTTATTTTTTTTTTATTTTTTTTTTTTTTTTTTGGTTATTTTGTTACAGTTTCAAAAACAAATACTCATTTGCCACATAGATTAACCATCTTTTACTTCTTTTTCTCTGCTGGCAATGGGAATAATCATAGTGAATGAGTATTTTGTATGGAAGTCAAAATACTACTTTGATTACATTTTACAACTTTTGTGACACGTTACTGCACATTTGTCACAAGTTTCTTCAGTTATTAAACATAAAATATGCACTAAATTCATTGTTAAACACATGTTTGAGATTTCTAAAGCATTAAAAAAATATGATTTCTGATGCATATTGTGCCTTTAAGATAACATATATATATACGTTCAAGGGAAAATCATCAAAACATCTGGTACGGTTTGTAAAGGTAATTGCATATATTGTGAAGACAGTCTGCAAGACAGCATTCCAATATCCCGTAATAATTAATGCTTGCAATTATAATGGAATAAATACGGCGGTGTGTGAGTGTACGTGCATAGCTCGTGCATGACTAATATAAAGAACTCGTGCCAACACGGAAACGTGAAACAAAATACTATGAGTGATCCTCACAAGTTTTTATTCCATTTTTTCTTATATAAACATTTTGTATAAAATACATGTATACAAAAACGCCCGTATTATTTATAATTTTATCATGTAAAAAAGCTATCCTATTCGTGTATATAGATTATAAATGAGAATATGAAAGCAGAAAGAAAGACACGTGCTGGTTTAGAACTTAAAGCCCCAGTTTGATATACATGTATGTTCCATTGATTAGTTTCATTAAGTGTGAAATCAAGATTGTTTCGCAAAATTTTACTAAGATATTTGCATCTAGAGTACCGATCAGTTTATAAATAGCAGAAAACGGGTTTCGGTAAAAGTTAAAAATATCGCCTGCAGTGTAAGTAGCGTTATGAATTTATTTGAGATTTAGCAAAAAAAAATGCATGGGAAGTGCGAGTTGCTTTACTTGTTCTCGTAAGCAGAATAATGATATATTTATTTTAACAATTAACCATGAAAGTAGCACCTCACATGGTGGATGCAATCAACAGTGCAAATGTAAATAAATATTTGTACATGTATATATTAGATACTTCGGAAGGGTTTTATTTTGCTGTTGTTGGGAGCCGATGTGAAGTTACTTCTTATAAAAATCAAAGTTAAATAAATATTTGAATTATGGTTCCAACCAAATGAAATATTCCTTATGCCTTGGGGTTTATGTTAATTTATTGCACAATATTTTGAAATATGACACTTTAACCCCCATCTCAAGTCATACCCTGATTTCTCACACTAAATTCCATTAGAAGCAAATATTATTCAGCTTTCCAACTGCATCCCCAGTAAGTATTTCTTGCTCTGATTTAAACACTACACAGTTTATAGGTGCATAGTAAACCCCTCTCTGGTCATATCCGTTTTCTACATCCCATACCCTTGCGCTTAGGTCCCCACATGTAACCATGAAACGCCCTGACTTTGAAAAACATATATCTTTAACTGATGCAGTATGGCCGGTTAAGGTATGTTGCAGTTTAACGGAACTGTTTAAGATATTCCAAACGTAGATTTTTCCTGACTCTACTCCGGTTATAAAAGTAAGTCCGCTTGGTGAGAATACTGCAATGGTAATGTCAGTATCATGTTCCGGCAAGTCCAATACAAGACTGTGTTTGTTTTCTCTGAAATGAAAATAAAAGCAAAAATGTCACTGGAGAAAAAGTATGGCTAATATTATCTCCTACCTTTCTAACGGAAAAAAGTATGGCTAATATTATCTCCTACCTTTCTGACGAGGCAAATATTTGACCCGCAAAAACTAAGACCTATGACACAGACTGTAAGGACCAAACGACAGTAGATGTTTTATCGCCGCAAACCATCCAAGCAAATTACGTACACAATACATATGATTGTTGATGGTATTGCTCTATCAATTTGATGTTTTAGTTCAAAAATGTTCTCAAAATTAAAGGCCTCAGAACTGCTATCCTTTATATCTCAAACGCATTCTATTTTTTTTTTTTTTTGAATTTTGCTACAGTTCCCAAAAAATACTCGGTTGCCTTATAGATGAACTACCTATGCTTCTTTTACTTTAATAGCAATTGGTACAGTTATAGTGCATTAGTATTTTGTATGCCATGGAAGTCAAAATGCTGCGTATAGTATACTTTGTTTACATTTTGCTACATTTACGACATATTACTGCACAATTTCTCAGGCATAATGTGCCTTTATGCAAACCCCAGATTTGATGAAATATTGATGTATAGTTTATGGAACGGTACCGTAGGTCAGCGGCAACATAAGTGTGAAAATTTCAGGGATGGCAAGTTATTTTAATCACTTGCAACTACCAACAGTCTTTCGTATTAGAGGTATTGTGTATTATTAGTGCTATTATACATAGTGCGCGTTACAAATCATCGGATATTTCTAGAATTCTGCACTCTAAAAATAGGTCTGACGATTTTCTGTGAATGCAACCAACCCATATGGGCTTCCGATGGCGAGTAATGGTATAAATATATAATTATCCATATTCAAGACGCTAACCAATATGTCTGTCTGTCTGTAAGACAGTCAGTGCAAGCAAAAGTGTACGTCAATCGTTTGTTGTTACTGTTTCCTGAAAAGTTTAAAACTATTCGCAATCGTTAAATACATCATGCATTTTAAGCTACTTACTTTATTTTCCACACAGAGCATTCTTTTCCCGCCGCTGTAATCACGTGATCTCCTTCAAGAGAACACGCGATCTGCACGATGTTTGGCTCCCATTTCCAGCTCGTAATAGTGTCGTAGGTACCAATGTTAAACAACAAGACTTTGCCTAAATGTGTGCCTGAAATGAATGATAATGGCAGCTAATAGTAATAGTGATGTTAACTAATCTAAGATGTAAAAGAGGTACTCTACGTGTACAAAGGTCATCGCTATTAGCCGGTTAATACCCGCCAGACACTGGATTCTAAAGCTATTTTAGGAAACGTCGGTGGTTTTTCTCAGGTGACCGCTGGTGCATGAAACAATGTACAGAAACGAGCCCATCTGACTTCAGTTCAGATCTACTTAGATTATATCTAGCATGTAGATCTGATTGTCATCCTATTTGTTTCGCCTTCAAATTGATTCGGATTTTCCAAGGAAGCTTTTTAAGGGATGCAAGCTTTTACAGATAGGCATTAGACGAAGTGTCAAAATATCGCTGTCCAAGGAAGTAAAAGATTTTTAAAATTTTAATTTGAAGTAATTTGAACCAAATAAACTGAAAATAACAGACTCAAAATTTTTAATGGGCAAGATCGTTTTGCAGGGTTATCTGTTAGATATGATTATGGACAACGCCATGTTTATTCTCGAAATCGTGAAAATTACCTGCTCAGTATTGATTTTCCAGCGGTTAAAATTAACAACCGCATCGCTTTCAAAATTGCAAAAGCTCGCCAATGATTGGCTGTTTGAAATGTCACGAGAAGGTGATCTCCTATTGGTGTCTGTCAGATCCTAATGCTTGCGTTAATTAGGAGCTGATTATAATCAGATTGAGAAACGAACTAGAGTCTCTCTTTGCAAGAAAAGCTGGAAATTCAACATACAATGTATAGCCTTTACAGTGATGGCGTGACTTAAAAGTTAAAACACAGCAAATCGAACAAAAACAGAAGGCCACTGGTTAATTAAAGGAAAACTATCTCACCGACAGCTATATAAGAGCGACTACAAGAGAATGATGTTGGGCCGTCTTCACTGCTTACACTTAGTTCATGCAACTTTTTACAGTCCATTGCATAGTACACACTACACTTAGCTTTAAGGGCTGATTTTGCCTGCAAAGAGAAAATATAAAAACATTTACAATGGTTGTGATTCAATGTTTAGGTCACTAAGTAACGCAAGACTTTAAAACCCTATATATAACTTCATGCATGTACGTCTGGTTATTATTGTTTTGTGATAGTTTTGGTTGCGTCTCATTAAATTATGACCTCCAACTAATCTGGATAAAAAATGTGTTTGATATGTGTGTTTGTTTTTCTTCAACTAATGTAGACCGAAAAAGTTTTATATAAGATGTCGATATATGATAAGTCATCATAAGTGTATGGGTTGGGGTTAACGAAAATGGAATTTATTTGGCTTTAAAGACATATACCCGGTTGGAATGGGAATCATAAATTTGACCCGGACCCACAGTGTCTGTGACCTGACAAAATCTGATAAACTAGAATGCTATTCTACCAAAAAGGAAATGTAAAGAATATTAATCAGTGTTAAATCTAACTTACCAAATAGTCGCCAGTATGACCATGGTCTATTACAACAAGTTTACTTCCGTCGCTCGTGAATTCCGCCTTTTTTATAAAACCGTAATGTCTCTCTGTTTCAACGGAGCCGTCATTTTCTGAGCTGTCAATGTTTCGGATGCTGCATGTTTGCGACCATCCGTTCGACATTGCAATTTGTAACGTTGAAGGAGAAATAGCCAGTGTGTTAAAATGTAAGTTAGGTTCTGTATTTACATCCACGTTCCTAGAAGTCGTCTGCTTCATAACATCGATGTTCCAAACTTTAAGAGTACTGGAATAAAGAAAGCGTTTCTTGTCACCTATGTATAGCAACAGACTGGTTGTGCTAAAAAAATTCAGGAAGTTACGTTGATTTTTAATGATTTTTCTTTTTATATCAAACAATACATGAATCAATTCCAAATAAAATAAAATCCGGTATGTTTTACGAGGGTGTAAAATGTAACAGTCAATCAAAACAAACACTGTGTTATGAAATGTTCTACGAAACATATTAAAACGCAAGAATGAATATTTGATTACAGACACATATGACTAATAAAATTCGTTATTTGTACTCACCAGTCTAAAGATGATGATACCAATCTGGTCTCCATCGAGTTTATGGCCGAACAAACAACTCTATGGGAGTGGCCGTAAAATGTTGAAATAATTTTCCATATTTTATCTTTAGTGTACTTCCAAAGTTTGATGCTCCGGTCTGAAGACGATGAAAACATATTTGTTCCATCTTTCGTTATTTTGATAGACCATATCCAAGCAGAATGGCCTCCGAGTTTATCGGCGCATGCGCCATTTTCTGCATCCCATACAGTTATATGATTATCGGCCGATCCCGTCATTATCTGTATCAGACAATATCAATGATGCAATGTTTATATATAAATTTGGCAAATGCATCAGTTTTAAGTACAAAATAATTGTTATGTTAAGAGAAGCGACTTTAGTTAGAAGGTTTATCATTCTGGTATGACCTTTGATCGAGGTGCTCGGTATAGACAGGTGGTCATGTATCATGCCATTTCAACACATGTGTATTGCGACCTACACATTCAGAGACGGGATAATTAAACCCAAGGGTCTTTCTAAATTCTTTCTATATTCGGTTGAAAACTATTTATGTTTTACCGTGCAATATTTTATCTATAAAATACTTATTCAGAGGTAAAATTTAAAATGCATACGTGAATTTTATCAATTATTCATTTGAGTTTTAAACTATTAGACGTTTTCTAGGACGTTTAATGAAGGATACTTTTAAACGATTAATAACTTTAAACGATTAATAAAAATAATGTATAATCGTTCCTGACATATTTTATTTTAAATTTTAATTTAGAGCTCTATTTTATTTTATTTCATTTGTTTATATTTTAATCAGCACTGATGAAGTAACATGATGCAGTTCTTTTATTTACCGATGACGGACACCATAATGCAATTGTGGCATTGCCGCTAAATAGGTATATCGGTGTCGCAAATTCTTTTGCCATTAACTGTCGCAATGGCAATATCAAATATTCGGCACGATTTTCCTGCCCGCTCAGACATTGCTACATTTAGTGGCAAGGGCGACATTTAGCAGTGTTCCAACAGTAAATGTTGTCACATCCTTCAATAAATGAACTTGAAATGTGTAAAAATACTTACATTTCGACCGCTAGGATGATAGCAACAACAGAGCACAAGTTCCGGCCGTGCTGCACGGCGTGATTGTTTTTGTTTCATTGAAGCTGGTTCATTTCGTTCAATCCATGATATTGTCAGATTGTCCATTTGTATTTTTGCTACTTCTGTATGGATTTTAGTAATAAAATAGGTTGAATTTAAGTAATAAATCTAACAAGCTGCAGTAGTTGAGATGTTGGTCTCAGATGTGCATGTTTTAGATAATAATAATGATTTATAGATGTTAGAGAAACTAAAGTTGTCTAGAAATAGGGATCAATTTTAAAAGATAATTTGCGATACCTTCAACTTTTAACGAGAAAATTGCAAAAATATCTCATCATTGTGACCAGTTTGAATATAAAGGTCATTAACATAATGGCTGCGATTAAAGGGTCGCATATATGCTTGTTCTGTCGCGCATTTGTTAAAATGTTAACATTGTTTACTCGTTGATTATGACTTGGATTCGTTAAGCATTGAAGTCCTTTTTTGATCCCTAGATGATGTCTAGGCCTACTTGAAATTATAATAACACTACAGAAAAGAAACAGAAATATTTAAATGGTCAGCATCCACTTGTTTTGCTTTTTATGATTACTCAAATCCGGTTAGGCGCAGAGAACAAGTAAATTGTAGAATCTCACCATATCCGGCATTACGACCCGCCACCGAATTTTCCCATCGTTTTGGAAAAATCATAAGGCTCCCAAAACACTTGCCAATTTTAATATAAGGTTGGGAAGCGGTCCCACAGGTTCTTTGACGCGTATAGTAATTTCAGATTTGAATATGAACACGTTTATATTCCCGTTCTTGTAGCCAGCTACTACGGACGTATTGTCAGGGGAGAACTGCAGGCATGTCACCGCGTCATTTTCTGTCGGTTCACTCTTAAACTACCAAATATATACATGAAGTTGTCAAAAAATGTCGCGAGTAACGTGCATAGAAGTGTTTTAATGTTTTATTCAATTAATTAAAAAAGTAGCTTTGTCACTGGCTATTCACTGGCGTCACATGAAAGTTTAGTATTTCAACGAATGAGATTCATTTTGACTTAAAGTTGAAAGATTCCGGTCTTTTTGTTTGTTTGTTTGTTTTTTTTGTTGACGCTTTCAGGTTACCAGTTTTCTAGATCTACGATACTGTTCATATCAATGCACGGATGTTGGCATTCGCATAAACTCATAAATAGCTACCATTTATAGTAGTTTTGGTAGCAAGTTACAAAGGAATACGAATTCAATTTATCAGATCAACAAATTCTAAAAAAACATACTAGTATATGTATTCATTTCTAAGTGAAAAAAGAAAAACGACGAAAAAGAACACGTGTTCAATCAAACAATTTTTATAGACCCTGATTAGACGAGCCACTACCCTTTCAGATTCAAATCACTTTTGAATTACTTGGGAGAGTATGCCCTATAATCCCATGACAATTTCTATAATTGCAAATCTCATGGCAATTCTAATAGTTACAAATATCATGGTAAGTTTGCTTAGTGTATAAGTCTTGATAATTGCAATAGTCTGCAAATGTGGTTGTCGCAGTTATTTTGATAGGGGCATAAGTCATGGTTATCTCAGTTGACCATTCCAGAAGTCGCAAATGCCTTGCCAGGTGCTGACCTATTGGCTTTTTCAATAGGAATGTATGTCATGGAATTTTCAATTAACAATTAATAGGGGCTGATTATGGCAATTTCAATACTAAGTATGTGCAGATTTCATTATAAGTTTGATAGGAGCAGTCAGATGTTAAATGGCAATTTCAATAGGGGTCTATGTATTGGCAATTTCCAAAGCGGCATATGTTATGGCAATTTCATTAGGGGTCTATGTATTGGCAATTTCCAAAGCGGCATATGTTATGGCAATTTCATTAGGGGTCTATGTATTGGCAATTTCCAAAGCGGCATATGTTATGGCAATTGAAATAGGGTTATTATATGTAATGGCAATTTCATAGGGTTCAATAGGGGCATATGTAATGACAATTATCATACCTGCAGATCTTTGGCAATTTCAATAGTCGCAAATAAAATGACAGATGTTTATCTGTTTACCTTTGTTCCATCAGAATCAAATAGGACAATTTCAGCGTCTTCTGTCCCAACAACAATTGTTTTCCCGTCCCGTGAAAAACAACATGGGTTGGCTGTATGTACCCGCATATTCATCACGTGATCTCTTTCGTCCTTTTTAGCCATATCCATTGGAGACGGAAGTGACGTGTTCACAGCTATTTCTGAACCTGTTAGGACGTCCCATATTCTTAGACATCCATCAATAGAAGTTGACACGATCCTGTCTCCTTATTGAAATAGAATTAAATGATATTGTATGAAAAATATAAAAATAACATACATGTATATTGTACGTTCAAATTGAAGTGATACAAATCAAAATGTTTTGGCATTTTCACCGTAGATGCTCATTTCATAAGTTAAATTATGCAAACAAAAACACTGTATTAATAATAATTTGATTCGAAAAGAGTCCAAATTGCATGCGTATCAGCGTAAAAAGAGCATAGAAAATCCAAAATACTTTGGGTGTAATAACTTCATTTTATCCTAGAAAATACAGTATATTGGCTAACAAATGTGTTCAGAATCTTTCAGTTGTAAACTTATTCGTTCATATTAGATAAAAACGATAGAAAACTATAGAGCACATTAATATTACCTTTTGGTGAAAAATCGCAAGACAGTGGACTTTTTTCATGCCCTTGTAATGTTAGTTCGCATGCGTCATTTTCCGAGTCATTGGAATCTGTGATGTTTTTAAGTATGGTCAATGGAGGCTCTTTGAGAAGCTCTAGCTGTTGTCTAGCCGGGTGAGACTTGTTCTGTTGCGATGCAAGCTGATAAACGGCAGATGGTTCTCTCAGTAAGAATGACAGGTTTGCACCAATGAATCGCACCATTTTTATAAGGTTCTTGTCATCAGAAATTTTAGCTGCCTCTGTGAGTTCGGAGTAAAATTCGTGGCCCATTCCAGCTGTAAATTTTGTTAAGATGAATTCAAGATTGAAGAAAACCTCAGTAATCCGTGTTATATCATTGATTTTTAAAAGATGATATGGCAGCTCCCTTATTTTCCTTCTATTTATATTGTTGACTACAGCTCCATCGCCAAATGTCAAAGGTTGTTTGGGTATTCCCCTGTCTTTCAAAACAGGTTTTGCATCTTTATTCGATTGTAAACCTTTTGCAATATATCCCTTGCCATTGGTCCATTTACCATCGAAGTAATCTGCCAAAGCCATGTGAGCGTTGTGGTTCATGTTTGACTTTTCCAAATACCTTTCATATGCCGTCTCCTTGAATTGTCTATGAAACCAAGTGAAAACTGTCACGCCATCAGAGCCTCGTTCTGAAAGGTACTGACCTAATTCTTTGCGTACCCGCAACCAAAGAAGTGGTGGTATTCGACGCATAGGTGGAGTCCAATATTGAAACAAGGTGTCCAATACTTTGTCATCACATGATAAAACATCTTCAAGCTCGTTCTGTGACAATCCATCTTTTGAAGCTGTGATGAACGCCAACGCATGACTGACAAATATGGCGCCAAACATTTTCTCCAGGCGTTCAAAAAGTAATGTTATCATGCCTTTAATGGTATTTGAAATATCGTTTGCGTCTATATTGTCATAAGACCTCCATTTACATGCAATATCAGATGCGAGACTCAAGTACAATGGAAGTGGAGTATTCAGAAAAGCATCCATGACTACTTTTAATTGAGACTCGGCAACCTTTCGACCTTTGACCTTCATCATTTTCTGAAGGATATCAGGTCCTTCACCGGGTAATAGTTTAATAATATTAATGAAATTCTTTTCCGGCACGTGCTTTTGAAGAACATAAAGAGTGTCTGCTTCTAATGAGGAGAGAATTAGTTTTACATGTTTCGGTAAGTCCTGGTCAAGTTTTAGCCAATCAAGTTTCCTACCATTGTCGTCTGCGGATAATTGATCGAGGGAATCCAAGTGAATGATTAAAGGTGAGGTCTTTGTAGCATTGCTAAGAGATTTTCTAAAATAATCTGCCAATTCCCTGGTAGAATCAGGAACTAATCCAACATCTTGACCGTAGGCATAAGCGATTTGTCTACAAACGCTTAAAAGCAGATTTCTAACAGATCCCGATTGACTTGTTGTTCCGATGAATCGAACAACGCATACGCTATTTTTAGAAATGGCCTTTCCCTTCTGGGCGCTTACAGCCATCAATGCCGTTTTACCGCTTCCGGAACTTCCGCTGATAACAAGGGGCTTGCCGTTACCCGATTTGTCTATGAGGTATTTGTTTATCTCCATTAGTTCTTTTTCACGTCCTACAAAAAGTGTTCTTTTGTCGCCTGCTAACTTTAAATGCTGAACGATTTCCATCACATCTGTGTTGTCCTCTACATTACCTTTTCTCTGAAAGTTATCAAAAATCATCTCCACCATTGTGCGACACACGTGATCACAAAATTTACTCACATAATGCATTCCGCCTTTAGCGTTTGCAGATTCGTAAATAAACGTTTTTCTGTTTTCTTCCCGTATATTTTCCGGAAGTTTCTTTTGTATCAGACACTGAAGCCTTTCATACGCATCTAAATCTACTTCCGAACCTTTCATGTCTCTCAATCGACGATTATAGTGTATTCTGTTTTGTATATCTTTAAGTTCTCTGATCATGAAATATGATTGATCGTCTCGTTTCGAATTTTTAAATGCACCTTCTTGAATTTCCATTTCTGTAACTGATACGAAATATTTGTCGTAAATCTCCGGTTTGTTCTGGAAACATTCGGCAACTGCTTCACGGATTTGCTCGTGGATAACTTCAATATCTTGCCACCATTTGGTTTGGTCTTCATCATCGCTCATAGATCGGAGAACATATTCCGGGGGAATAGAATTTTTATCAAGATGATAGAATTTTTTCAATAAACTTGTGTCGTGATTGTTGTTAATCAAGCAAGCAAGAATTTTCTCATATTCGGATTCATCTATTGTCGCAGGAATTGGTCTGTATCCATATTTATGACCGAGAATGCAAAGAAACGCTGGCCCATAACTTTCCTTTACACATCTGAAAAGTTATTTTATAGAGATTCTTAATTTTTTTTCAAATAATTATACATGAGACAATCTAATTAAGACAGCTAATTAAAATAATCTAATGATCTATTTTTGAAAATTTAATTCAGCACAGTACTTGAAGTATCTCTCAGCGATACTTTCACATACCGTTCCGTGCACACGCAACACGAGACTTTTCAAATTTGCGTCATTTGGCACAACATCTGGAGATGCCCGGATGTACAGACATGTATTTAAAATCTTTCTGTGCACATTAAAAGTTACAGTCTTGTTCGGACGTACGGGTGGACAGACAGTGTAATTGTGATGTACTCATTGTTTATTGACACAAATAGAACAGTCAATTTGTTCCTAAATTTCTGTTCTTCAAATTAATCTACTATTAATACATGTATTACAGTGCCTCCAAACATTGGACACGCCTGGTGCATAAGACAGAAAATATCACCCAACACCTTAAATCAAGACCACAATTAATGTTGAAAATGTGATTTTTATTGGCTGATTATTTCTCTTAATAAAATGATAAAATATACATGCCATTTACACTGCATGAAAAAGCAATATAAAGAATGATGCCATTAATGACATGTTCCCTCCCATGTTAATTAAAAGTGGTCGTTTAGTGGAGGTTGTCTTAAAATAAGATAGCGATGACCGTGTCCATTACCTTTGTATTTCATCTAGACACATTTTCACTGTAGAATGATGCTTTGTGGCCTCGTCGGTGACGCCCCATCGCATGTCAATGGTACCAAACTCTAAACCAAGTCGTCTGCAAACCTCTCTCACATATGGGTATACGTCTTTAAAAAAAACAATGCAATTCTTTAAAATTGTGTTGATAAAGAAGACACTTGATGAGTGTAAAACCTTCATTTTGTAAGTTTATTTAATCGATGTGTCCATAATATAAATAATATATATGTTGTAGAAAAAATGTAACAGTTCGGCGTCATAATATATAGTTTACACCGTCTTTTCACTGATTTCAAAACTTTGCCTAGGACATGGAGTGCAATGCAAACTTATCAGTCCTTGTGGGTAAACAGTGTAAAATAATGACAGATATTGTTATATAGGTAAAGTGTATGCGGATTAAGTTTATGTATAAAACAGAGAAATATTACTTTCTTTCCATTTTCATTAGATTCAGATACCCAACAATAAACAATAAATTACTCGTATTTATATGTATATAAAATTTGTTACATTTTCTCACCTTTCATTAGATTATTTCTTTCGGCTTTTGTATCTGTAAACGTTGAACTCACAAACACGAGAACCTTCTTATTCATTTCCGGTAAATCCGGAATGACTAGATCACCATTGTAGACCGCTGTTTTGGTTTTCTAAAAAAATCAATAGATATGGTGAAAACTGGGGGTCAGTCTCTAAAAATGTCAGACATATCACAATGTGTTCGAATAATTTAATGCCTTTGACTTTTTTAATGTAAGAAAGCTGTCAAGCCCGTTTCTGAAAGATCAATGGATGTAGCGAAAGGTATTATAAATGCGTGGCAAAACATATTAATCAAGCAATATTTAAAGTTCCTAAACAAAGAAAATACTAATAAAACGAGTATGTTATTTTCATTTTTCTTGTTTTCTCTGTTACTCATTATATGTGTGTTCAATTTATATAACTTAAATAATTTAAATGTTATTATAGTAAAAATCTTACTAAAGAAATCGGTATTTTCGGAGCTCGAAATAGTTCGTCTGCTTTAGCTAGATTTTCCCGCCATTCTGGTCTTTCACTCCTTTTATTTTCGGGCCATAGTTCACAGTCAGCAACTTCATTTAAAATGTCCATCCATGGCTCTGGTACTTCTGTTAAAAACACTTCCGGTTCGTTTTCCTTATCAGCTGATTTGCCCGTTTCCGTGGAAGCAATGCCTTTCTCGTCGGCGTCATGTTTTATTTTATCTTTTAAAATATCATCAGAGTCATCGACCTGCTTTGGTATGGACGCTGCATTCGCCGTTGCTTTTACGGATACAGTGTCTGGCTTTGGTTTTGTGACAGGCTCTGACTTTGGTTTAGGACTCTTGGAACTACCGGACCCCATTTGTTCTTAAGGAAACCTAGTACTAAAAAAACATATACTGTTACCAACATCTGTGGTCTTAAGCAAAGGAAAACTATACTTACCACACAAAAGTTCAAAATGTAATTTTCATTCCTTAAATTTGTATAAATCATTTACTATGATAGCTTATAATTATGTGGGGAACCTTTGAAATTTCACTTTGTTAAGTCAGATGATATTTCATATTCATAGAACAAAGGGGATAATTTTGTAGAATTTTAAATACCCTGTATAAACACAATACACTAGATCGATATATCTAATATGTCATTCCCTTAAACATTGAAATGAATTTCTTTACAATTCAAACATTATTTAAGCACCATGAGTTTAAAGAAAAACTGTACACTGGGAAAAAATCGGAAATTGTGTAGCAGATATGAATCGATACCCTTCCATAAACCGACTCTAGATCCGCGCATAAATTAACGCACAACTGAATAAACAGTTATAAACATTGTTGCTAATGGACCGTATAGATCTATATAAATATATGTATATAGTATAACTAAAATACATCACATATATGATAAAACAACATTTATAACATATTTTTAATGTTCATGTACATATCATACTTTTCAATAAGCAGATTTGATTAGTTTAATACCAAAATCTGACAAATTGTATTTAACATCTTGTACTTAGTATAATATAGTAAGTAATTCATACCTCTCTATATGCGTCAATCCTATGTTATAAGTATTACTCCATTTCTATACATTATTCCCTGTTTAAAACACTCATGTTTTGGTCATATTTATACTACAAGTAAATACATCAATAAATATAACGTGTAACCTGAACTGTAGATTTACTTGTATATATACGGGTAGATCTAATATGTATATAGATAATCGATATCGCTAAATCAATATGGACATTCTCAGTGTCATGTTGTAACAAAATTAAAACCACTTCATAAGTAAAAGCCTTTCGCCATTTTCAGTCCATTGAACAATATCGGATTAAACGGTTCAACAAAACATGCGTTAAATAACGGTGTCTCGTTACGGCCATCGCGACACAACAGTTACAAATACGTATGATGACGAAACCATTATGGTGAATGTAATTTCGTGTTGTCATATTGTACTTTTGACTTATTTTAACATCGTGGTTTCGTTATTTCCACTTTTCACATTCGGTTCGTAGGTAACTCGTTTTTTTTTTTGTTTTTATATGCCCAAAAGAATTTCGGGCATATTATGTTATACCCCCTGGCGTCCGTCTGTCCGTCCGTCCGTCCGCCCGTCCGTCCGTCCGTCCGTCTGTTAGCAATTTGGTTTCCGGAGCATAACTTAAGTTCCATTTGGCCCACAGTATTCAAACTTCATAGGATGATTGCCCATATTGAGTAGAAGACCCCTATTGATTTTGGGGTCACAATGTCAAAGGTCAAGGTCACTATTAGCTAAATACTGAAAATGGTTTCCGGAGCATAACTTAAGTTCCATTTGACCCACAGTATTCAAACTTCATAGGATGATTGCCCATATTGGGTAGAAGACCCCTATTGATTTTGGGGTCACAAGGTCAAAGGTCAAGGTCACTATTAGCTTAATACTGAAATTGGTTTCCGGAGCATAACTTGAGTTCCATTTGACCCACAGTATTCAAACTTCATAGGATGATTGTCCATATAAAGTATAAGACCCCTATTGATTTTTGGGTCACAAGGTCAAAGGTCAAGGTCACTATTAGCTTAATACTGAAAATGGTTTCCGGACCATAACTTAAGTTCCATTTGGCCCACAGTATTCAAACTTCATAGGGTGATTGCCCATATTGGGTAGAAGACCCCTATTGATTTTAGGGTCACAAGGTCAAAGGTCAAGGTCACTATTAGCGAAATACTGAAAATGGTTTCCGGAGCATAACTTAAGTTCCATTTGGCCCACAGTATTCAAACTTCATAGGATGATTGCCCATATTGGGTAGAAGACCCCTATTGATTTTGGGGTCACAAGGTCAAAGGTCAAGGTCACTATTAGCTTAATACTGAAATTGGTTTCCGGAGCATAACTTGAGTTCCATTTGACCCACAGTATTCAAACTTCATAGGATGATTGTCCATATTAAGTAGAAGACCCCTATTGATTTTTGGGTCACAAAGTCAAAGGTCAAGGTCACTATTAGCTTAATACTGAAAATGGTTTCCGGACCATAACTTAAGTTCCATTTGGCCCACAGTATTCAAACTTCATAGGGTGATTGCCCATATTGGGTAGAAGACCCCTATTGATTTTAGGGTCACAAGGTCAAAGGTCAAGGTCACTATTAGCGAAATACTGAAAATGGTTTCCGGAGCATAACTTAAGTTCCATTTGGCCCACAGTATCAAACTTCATATGATGATTGTCCATATTGGGTAAAAAAAAACCTATTGATTTTAGGGTCACAAGGTTAAAGGTCAAGGTCACTATTAGCTAAATACGTAAAATGGTTTCCGAAGCATAACTTAAGTTCCATTTGACCCACAGTATTCAAACTTCATAGGATGATTGTCCATATTGGGTAGAAGACCCCTATTGATTTTGGGGTCATAAGGTCAAAGGTCAAGGTCACTATTAGCTTAATACTGAAAATGGTTTCCGGAGCATAACCTAAGTTCCATTTGGCCCACAGTATTCAAACTTCATAGGATGATTGTTCATATTGGGTAGAAGACCGCTATTGATTTTGGGGTCACAAGGTCAAAGATCAAGGGATTACTATCACCTTTAAACTAGAAACAGTTTTCGCTCAATAACTCAATTATTAATCGAACTACAGCTGTAAAATTTTATAGGATTAACAGCTTTATACCCCTGACGTCTTGGTGTCCATCCGTTGTAGCATTTTTACTTACAAGATAACAACTTGATGGTGGTGCTTTGAAAACAGCAACTGTATATATACATGAATGTTCTTCAGCTATAAAGGAGGATTGCTTTTTGAAGGAGGTAATACTATATTTAATTCCCATGTCTTCCTCACTAAAAGAAAGACTACTTTCGGGCATATAATGCTCCGCCTAGCGGTGCTCTTGTTTTTTTTTGCTTTTGTTTGGATATTAAAATTCCTTAAAGCTGACAACTATGAAATCGTTCAAATTCAAAGCTGGGCTATTCAATTACACAAGTTTAGTTCGAAATTGCATGTTTCTCCCGTTTATCTTTATATACGACAGAAAACTGTAACTGATTTGACTTGTATAGTGTTGTATTAAGGCACAATATGCCTTAGGAACGAATTAAATCTAACCTTTGCAGAAATTTAAGGGCTAACATGAATTTTATAACCTTAATTAAAAAATGCCACAAAACAACAACTTTTCATCAAATTTTGGTGAAAGGCCACGTGTTAACATAGAAAAACTAGATTTTGAGTAATTCCAAGGTTTTTCATCATTTTTTGTTAAATAGTGTTTTGGGGAATTTAAAATACTTATTGTCTGAATAAAGTAGCTAGCGTATGTGAGATTTTCTTCTTCTTCTTCTTCCGGGTAATGTGCTGGGCCCCTCTGGAGCATCGTCGCACAATTGTGACTATTTACATGAGTGAAGGGAACATCAAGTGCAGCTAAAAACAGGTTAAAAACAACATGCTCCAGAGTTATTAATTCATTAATTTAAAGTAGCAAAATGTAAACAAATAGAATTTTGACTTCCATTTAAAATACTACATGTATATCACTTTAAGTGTACTAATTGCCAAATAACAGAAGAAAATATTAATTTATTCAACGAGTTCAATAAATTCAGTAATGAACTTACACGCATTTAATGTTCTATTTATCACATACTAAAAATAAAGACCGTTTAAAGTGAAATAAGAGTCATTTTTCATTGACGCGCCTATAGTATAACACTAACATTCAGCGCGCCTTTACAACGCTAATGACGTCACGTCAAAATATATGCACGGCCTTGCAAAACCATATTTACGGAGTCGCAAAATCGGCACGGGTGTGTGATAAAACGCATTTAGCGCGTCTTTACACTATGTTTGTATAGCACAAATGACGTCACGTCAAAACATATACAAAGTCGTGCAATATCGTTTTTACGGAGTCGCAAAATGGGCACGGGTATGTGATAAATAGAGGATATTGAATGAGTGTAAGTTCAATTAAGAAATAACATCGGCCTGAGAGGTGTATATCGGCTATTTAACACCGGTTTGGAGTTTTGATGCGTAAGAATTGACCACGAAGGCCGTAGGCCTGAGTGGTTAATTTTATCGCATCAAAACGACAAAACCGGTGTTAAATAGCCGATATACACCTCTCCGGCCGATGTTATTTCGATTCTAACACGTATATAAAATAAGGAAAATCACTAAACTAATTTTACAAGCGGAAATAACTTCCGGTGCCGATTTTCGTATAAACGCTGTTCGATTTTCGCACCCTACTGGTTGCGAAGATATAGAAATTATCAAACAAAAAGAAATAATAAGAAAAAAAAACGTTATTTTATCAAGTTTTCAACAATTAAAGCTTACGTCGTATCGTGTTTACATCAGTGCACCCCATTTATCATTCTTGTATGTATGAAATAACGTCAACTTGTTTAGGAAAGAGTTGTTTACTTACGATGACGTCATTTACGCTTCTTACGGATTGGCGCCGGTTTTGTCAAAGTATTTTATTAAACTGATATGGATCTAATATGTGGCGTTAAGTGTAATGTGAGATATTATTTCGGTATTGTATGAAAAGAAAACATTATAATAACTGAAAATATAAATAAAAAATGCTTTTTATTGTTGCTTTAAAATGCTTTGTAAACTATACAATCGAGGGTGAAAACATAACAGCGCATATACAAGTAGTCCCTAACCGGTGTTTATTGTCAGTTTAACACCAGTTTTTTCCCTTCTTTGTCTATAGTGACAAAATCACGCGAGAGTTAGAATACTGAATTTATTGCACGAGTTGAATAAAATTATATTATGCGAGCCTTGGCGAGCATAATATTATTTTATTCAACGAGTGCAAAAAATTCAGTAATGAACTTACACGAATTTAATATTCTATTTATCACATACTCAAAATAAAGACCGTTTAAAGTGAAATAAGAGTCATTTTTCATTGACGCGCCTATAGTATAACGCTAACATTTAGCGCGTCTTTACACTATGTTTGTTAATGCTAATGACGTCACGTCAAAATATATGCACGGCCTTACAATACCATATTTACGGAGTCGCAAAATCGGCACGGGTGTGTGATAAAGAAACTTAAAGTACACCAAAAAAAAAAAAAAAAAAAAGCTTTGAGAAATAGAAATTAATGCACTTGTGGAGCATAATGTGCCTTTAATTTTGATCCAGTAATAGATCATTAACCACTAATACATCCTCTCCTTGTAACCTGTCTTGGTTGTTCGAGCTTTGTCAAAATTGACCCGATTACACGATCAAAACTTACCTTTGCTTTGCGAGCTTTTGATTTGTGCATGCCTGGATAATGTAAGGCAACAGTTTTAGTTTTTCTCTACAAAAAAATCTTGATTTACAGAATAAGAGTCATGATGGCACGAACGTTCTCACATTCTTACACCTGATCATAAGGTTTTGAAATCTACATGGCCTTGAATTTGAAATAGTGGCCTGCATTTGCATCATATTCCTTACGCGGAAGCGTCCATCTGAGAAAGCTTATAAAACGTCTGTGGTTCTACTCAGGTGCTTCTTTGTGTCTGAATTAACGCAAGAAGGGGAACCTGGGGACTACCTCCACTAGTAAAGCTGGAAAGTCGCCATATGACCTATTCTGTCTTGGCGACGTAAAATTCAGGATCATCTCACTTTTTATTGTACGGTTCTAAAAGTTCTCTTAATCGTACAACAGGGACAAAAACAAACATGTATGTCTAAAACGTCAGCTTGTCCAGGTAATTATTTGTTTGATACTTTCAACTCCGTTTTATTACGGGACCAATATAGAAAAAACTATTGAAAATTCG